TGTTCTCACATGATAAAACCGACAAAATAATATTACAAAGAAATGGTTTCTGAAACTGATTGAAAAAGAGTGGCCATGGAGTTTCTTGCTCGTTCTTCTCCATAAAAGTTTACCAAGGAACGAGCAAATAGTTTGACTAGAGATCAGACCCACATGCAGACACAAAGTTCAACATTTTTATATTTTTTTTTGTTTGACATTCATAAGTGCCTACAGTGATCTGTTTGGAATAAATAATTTGACTTTATGACAGGAAGAGAAAAGAAAAACAATAATAAAATTGACTATAAATATATTTACAAAATATAAAATTTCGATTACAAGGCACATACAGTGAAGACTTACATTATTATTATTAAATTTATTATAATCACAACATTTATTCAGAGAGGCACATTGATTCACATGATTGTGTTTTATTATTCTATAAATATATATATTGTACCTACTTAAAGTATACCTATAACTTAGTAACCACGTATATAGTTTACAGTTCCACATCTGTTGCTACTTAGGAGCGTTTCAAAAACGGTACAGCAGTTTACATGAAAGCAAAGAATGTATGGAATACCTTGCTGCGATACCCTCTTCACAAAGTTGGAATAGGTATCCAATAAAGGTCCTCAGTTAACAAATAAAATGAAAAAGGAGGCGTACATACATAAATTATACATATTTTATTAGGAATTTTTCATTATGCATTGATTTTACAAAAAATATCAAGATTTTCGTTGAGGAGCTATATTTGGGACGTTTATAAATCCCAACGAAGTTAATGGGGTCTATGGGGGTTTTGCCCACCAGATGACGTTAATCACGCAAGATCAGTTTGTCCAATTAAATTGCTGTCAAAAATGGGATGTCCAATGGTGTGACACTAGCTAATTCCCTATTGGACGAAAAGACGAAACATCTACAGTGACGCCATCTGTTGAGCCAAAACCAGTAGCCCCTATTGAAACGGGAAATAATTCAAATTTTTCGAAAGACGTATGAAAACGCCTTTTAATTATAACCTCCACGGTTACAATTTAATAAAATTTGTATCGTTTTTACTTTATATCACTTTTATAAAAAAATAATTATAAATTTTACAAAATTATTTACCGTGATTAATTGATATTGAATTGTAAAATAGGAAAATACTTTGACATGCATTTTTTTTTATGGCGGCCGTAAACCTTTAGGTAATTTATCAATTTTTTCGTTTCGAAACAGCATTTTCTATCACTGCTGCAGGTTAGCTTATCAGCTTATCTTTTTAATCTTAAGTAAACGTTGATGGCCGGAACCGGCGAGATATAGTCGAGACATTGTAAGCGGCTACACAGATCAACACTGAATCGTTCATTCCATTTTTGATTTTCAACATTAATCTCATTTTTTTTAATTGAATTTGGATAGTACAAACGGAGTATTTCCTCAAATAAATTTACTGTTTCTATAAATAGTTTGTACTCTCCGATGACCTTGATTATTAGGTACCTTTTAAACGCCAGGAAAAAAATCAAATTAATTTATACTATGGCTTTCCTGTTTGAACACAACAATTTTAAATTTCGAACGTAGGTATGGCGACATAGAATATTTTTGACGTAACATTTTGTATTTTGGCGAATATAAACATAATAATAGTATGGGCGATTTCACATGTACTTTTATAAACTGCTTATTATCTAGTTTTATGGACTTAAGGTTACAGATAGTAGGGAACAATGTTTCTTTTAAGTTTGGTCTCATTAAAGTGTATCAGTATATAGAAAAATAAACCCTTCTAATACTATAAACGCGTGGGATGGTAAGTATGGATAGATGTTTGTTATCTTTCATCTGTTGTAATAGATACCAGCAAAATAAATGTACTACAAAATCTCAATCGACTTTCAGTTTTACAACAAGAATATAAAGTCTAAATTTCTATTGCGATGATGGTTGCGTTACAGTTATAATTAACACTTTAATGAAGACCAACTATATACATACATACAACAAGACCACATTTGATAAACAAAAATATACTTTTTCACTTTCATAATAAAGAATATTTTAGCAGAAACCCTTGGATATTACTATTCCATTTCATATCAAATGTGAACCTCATTTACTTAACTAATGACTAACACAATTTTAACTAACGTATCAAAAAAGCTGTTGTTTTAATTCACAAATAGAAATATTTTCTAAAGAGTCTTCATAGAATTAAAAGTATATTTGAAAATATTTAATCAGTAACTCGGCATAGTAATTCTTAATTAAGGTGATAAATTTTGTCTCCTTATTCTACCTGACAAGAAACATGGCATGAATTTGAAGTATGGCAACAAAAAAATAAAGAAACTTAGGCCTCATTTTACGCGATTCAAGTTTCTGTGAGGCGACAAACGCAATCACGACACAGAAGAAAAACAACGAGTTGGGCAACGTATTTTTTTTAAAGTAAAAACATTGAATAACTTTTTGGACGGCCTCAGCCCTACTCACACAAAATTTAGCAACAGAAACAAAATTCATCACCCTTTTAATGACAAGTCTGTATAGTAAAGATAAATATAAATTAAACTAAAATAAAAGAAGGTACGTTATAGAATGGTCTGGTACAATGTTTGAACTGTATTCGAAACTATACTAATGGACTACAACTCTTATAAATGACTCCTAAAGAGCATTATGTTTAACCTATTGAAAAATATTAAAAAAAAACATCACTCATATGTGAAGTGTTAGAGGAAAGCTTTAGGAAAGCCACACGGGGCCTCTTATTTTCATCTATACTAATATAATAAAGCTGTAAAGTTCGTTTGTTTGTTTGAACGCGCTAATCTCCGAAATTGCTGGTTCGAATTGAACAATTCTGTTTGTGTTTGTTAGTCCATTTATCGGGGAAGGCTATAAAGCATCACGCTACGATCTGAAGGAGCATTACAGCGGGAGTAGCTAGAGTTAATTTGACCTATCATAGTAGCTGTTGAAAATCTCATGGTATCAAAATTAGCCATTTCTAATGGACGAAAATACAAGGATATTTCATACTGCGCCATCTAGTGAGAAAAAATCAGTAGCCCACGCTAAATTACGATGACTCACGATAGTTATCATACTAGAAAGAAAGCATCTGCATGAGAAAATCGTTTGTCTGTTATTAAATATACTGTGAGTAAAAAAAGTAATCATACTGAATATAAAATGGACTAGCATTTTATATTCAGTATTATTACTTTTTTTTAATTATGTACTTTGTGAAAGGCAATGAATTATTAGTACACATTTACATAATACAATTCAATTACTTAGATACATTTTAGGTTAATCATTTTTTTGTGTTAATTTTGTGCATAACATTTACGAAAAATACTAGAAATAAAAATATGGAAAAATATCTACACAGATCTTAAATTAAACACTTATTTACTCTGTATACATAATAAGCATAGACTACAAAAATAGGCAATAAAAACTATTTTTGACTGTTCCTTTTTACAACAGATCAATACTTTTTGGTTTCAAAATGGTTCGCGGAAACCATGATGTAATTCCAAATTAAATGTAATTTTCATATAAAAATAGCGAATATAATGTTGAACAATTTGTAGAACTTTATAAAAAGCACTCAAATAGACATTTTATATCTCCATAATAGGGATGGCGACGGAGTATTAAAATTTATTAATAATAATATAACCCGTCAATAATGACAAAAAATTACATGTTATTATGTTTGTATATTTTTATGCTGTCGTTATAAAAAAAACACTTAATACTTAGACAAAAACCAATTAAAGTTTAGCAATGAAAGCCAGCTAAATCATACCTAAGGCAGCATTTTAGAACGATAAATGGCTAAAGGCTTTTGTTTTTGTAAAAAAAAATACGTCGAACATTAAAAAATATTAGTCGTTATCCTTGTATTATAATTATATTGTGAAGCGATTTATTTGCCACTAAATTGAAAGAGATCATCTAGCTACAATAATAAAAAAGCAAATAATATTTCATTTATTTTAAAAATGTTTAACGTGCTTCTGGGAGTTTGCTTCGGCCCCTCGTCCGCCTTCCAAATAACCGGGACTCTGCGGTCGCATGATTGATGAAGACATACTAATAATAATAAAATGCAGGGCTCTGTCTCTCTGTCTGTCACATTTATCCAAAATTGGTTGTAGTTTGACATGGTAAAAAGGCTGAGTTTGCAAAAATTATACATTATTTTTAACTATACATTAATTTTATAGAAAAGAAGATTTGATTTTTGATTTGAATAAACTCTAGAAAATTATTGACCAATTAAAAATTTTTTTTCATTGTTGAAAAGCAACACAATCCCCAATGAACTTAGGCTATAAACAACGCGACTGACACGCCGGGGCACATTTAGTATATTTTAATATAAGGCACTTCTTTTATACTATATTACACAATTCTTAGGAACACATTTCCTGACCATAACTTAAGTCCTAATTTATATGTTTCACATAGAAAAGCTCTTTCAACTTTTAGACTATACCTATGTATAGTTTATGGAACTGAATTATCCTTTTAGGGTTGCGTTCAAAGGATTTTTTAATGTCAAAATATTTCTCACTTTCCCTCGAATCGACCGACGATAATATGGTATAAGAAATAAAAATCTATTTTCCTGTCAGTCAGAAAATTAAGAAATCTTAGACCGTATTATAAATAGGACACCGACGTCTATACATAACACGTGTAGCTTTCTAAATTAAAATTTCTTTCCGAATTAGATATTTTCTTCTCCTACAATATTTTTTGAAAAATGTATAAAAATATTAGTACCACATTAAGCTTTCGTTGCATTTTATTAATTTTGTTATGCTTAGATATAAATTATTATGCATATTATGCATATACCTACATTTTGGATAATAAGCGATAATTATTATATCAAGCATAATAAATATTATATATTTTAAATATATGAGCCTCTTTTGGAATTTAGTATCAATTTCAAATAAATTTCAATTTATATATAGGTAATTGTACATTTCATTGTATTGTTACACATTTTTATTGTATTAGTAATACATATTACATAAATAATTATTTTGAACTATCTAAATACTCAAAAATATGTTTCAACCAAATTCGGTCCATTTAAATATAAACCGTGTGAGAAATAAGGTTCATAATTGCTTAAAGCAACAGACACATGTCAAAAATTGAGAACCTAAACAATGTGTAATTCCTACATCCATCATCTTTCCTGCATTCGAAATTAAAAAAAAAACTCATATCATAGATACTATGCGTCTCCTAACTTATTGTCCATTTAAATCAATTCATTTTTACTAACTCATAGTAAGTTTTCGTTAATCACCAAAATCACCAGAGTTGGTCAACTAGGTGGTGATTACTGTCATTCCACAGAGGCATGCTCTGTGTGGTCACGATTTTGTTACCATCTATAATGTATTGTCATTAGTTTACCTACTTGTGCTTCTTTCAGAACACGGTAACGAGTACCTGAAAATAATTAAAAATAACAAATTAGCTATTGAGAATTAAAAAACCGAAAATACCTTAATAGCATTTTCCGAGAACCAAATCTGAGCAACTGCCCATCAAATACCTCTTCTCATGAGAAAAAGGTTTGAGTTCATTAATCACCACACTTGTTCAAGGCGGATTGGGGATTCAAATATAGGGGGTTTGAGGATTGAAGATGAGGGGGAAGGGGGGAGAATTGCGTTTTTAACAAATTGATAAAACTACCGTATACCATGCGGGCCAATGCTGAGACCAATTTGTTCGAGACCCATTTCTCAGTTTCAATTTCCAGTTCTAGCAAATATTGTTAGCATTTTGACTACAAATATGTCTATCTACCTTATCTCACAGCTCTTCATAGAAGGCGACTCTGGTCTTAGTGGACCCTTGCTTGAGCCTCCGTAGCGTGGAGTACTTGTTATCACCAGCCCTGGTCTGTTCCTCGTGCAGTCGGTCTAGCGTCGCAGTAGACTGGTCTACTCGAAGTACAGAGAACTCGCAACGAAGCTCATCTAACTGTTGTTGAAGGTGCTTCGATTTTGCCAGGTATTCCACTCTGAAAAGATGGTAATGAAATATGAAATTGTATTTGTCTGCATATTAAAGTACGGGAGAGCTAAGCGTAGGCACAAATGGCCCAGCCCGACCAAAGTTATACCACGGTCTTAAAGAAAACTGGCGTGAAACAACCACAGCGTTGTGTTTTGCCGTGTGCATAAAGATACCAGAGGTCCGATTCGGGGAGGATTAAACCCTGTCTCCTCCAATCCCCAAAACTAATCTTCAAATCCTTGACCCCCAAGAGACCCAATGGCATTTGAAACTCTTCTGGTGTGCGCCGATTGCTTATCATCAAGTTATTCGTTCGTTCGTTCGTTTGCCGCCCCTTTTTTGAGGGGGGAAGAGGTAAAATCACGCAACGATTTCTCTCACTTGGGCTGCGCTCACTTCAATGTATTTTTCTCGCGAATTCGCCCGCGTGTTACGAACTTTCAACCAAATCAGTCTAGCCGTTTTGTCGTCAAATAATAATAAACATAAATCCATTCACTATCACAAACTTTCACATTTATGATATTAGTAGGAAAAACTCATCTCAATCGGGCCTCTATACTATAGAAAAGCAAAGAGGATATGAAACCATACCTCTCCTTCTCAATCTCCAAGGACAGCCGATGTATATGAGGATCGGAGTCATCAGGTACAAGCTGGTAGGAGTTGAGTTCGGGCTCCGTCACCGTCGCGGTGCCGTTCTGTAGGACTTCGCCCCCGAGTTCCGCGGGTAACGAACACGTTGATGGGAACAAACTTGACGGAACTGTCGATGACTGGAACGTTTAAAAAGAAATAGTTTTTTAATCTTCTTGATGAATATCTTTGCATAAAAGTTTTATAGTATTAATAGCGTTCCACCCCTGCATAGGACAGGTTTCCAACTAACTATTTTTAATTTCTTTTATAAGAATCTTCTTCTGAAAATACCAAACACAATAAAAAAAAATTGGTTTAACTGTCCTAAAAATTTCCGCTTATCAACACACATAGCAATTGTAGATGAAAATGAAGTCATTCGACCATGTTGTAATAAAAAATAAAATAGAATATAACCTTATTAATCCTTATTCTTAACGCAGGAATTGCTCATCCACCACCAACAAGAAACTATTCTATACATACATATAAAAATCAATGCCGCTTTTCGTTGTAATTTTATCAACAACGCCTTTACCGATTTGGCTAATTTTGGTCTTGAATTATTTGTGCATGTCCAGGGAAGTTTTTTACGTAAAAGTAAACGAAAATTTATTAAAAAAAATTAAAAAGTGCAAAGTTAAAGCAGGCGATTGCTAGTACAAATATAAAACATTACATGGAAAAAATCACTCACCGGTGGTCCAAGATCCCACGATCCATTATAAGTATCATTCAAATAGCTGATCAACTTCTCGCTAGACTGCTTTTCAGTCATCTTCGTCTCCAACTCCTCAAACTTCCTCGAAGGCTTGCTGACGGGTGGCAGGGACCCGGTGGAAGTCCTGCTCAAGAAGTTTAGGAGTTTCTCTTTCGCTTGCTTTTCCGCCATCCTCGCTGCTACGAGTTCAGCTTTTAATCTTTCCGCTTCAGCCGCTCGCTTCTCTGATTCTTCTACTAAACGCGCTGTTAGATATTCTGCTTCGCGAGTTTTCCTTTCTAAGTGTACCTAGCGAAGAGAATTTTGTTTTATTAACAGACTATAGAGGAATAACAATAATATATTTTTTGACAAATTATTTAATATAGTCTGGGTTTAGCGGATCGAGCAAAGTAAATCGATGAAGAAAAAACAAAGATGAACATTATTTTTTAAACAATACTTTTTCAAAATCTGCATACCCTAATTATTTGTTGTGCGCTTTAATGCACAAAACGACCATAGTCACTGCGCAAATAATAAAAAAAAACATGCGTAAATTTTTTGCTCGTATTTTAAAGATTTGTTATGCGCTTCAATGCACAAACCTACAATATTCACTGCGCAAAATTTGCGCAACTTATAAGAATATGAGCAACTAGATAACTTTGTCTTGTATTTTAAGACTTTATTATTTCTGTACAATTAGCAAAACGAAATGGCAAAAGATATCACCATCAGCTGAAAACTGGTCAAAGAGCAACCAAATTACCAAAAGGATTGCATTAATACCCAATTTAGGCAGAAAGCTTAAAAATCGTAGTTTCGCTATCAAATACTTTAACAATAAATATTCAAAAGATAGGAAAGGCAAATTATAGACCTAGATACCTAGGTCTAATTGAACACCAAGATACATACCTACATTTATTAAGAAACTTCGCTGATGGCAGAAACCTACTCAGGGTAAATCCTTGGCTATCATAGCCCATAATATATCGGCAAAGTCTCCTTGGCGCTCATCTTGTAAAAGATTTTTTTCTCTTACCTTCTCCTCCTCAGTCTTGATAGCAGATAGCCGAAGCCTCGCGTTCTCCCGTTCAGCGTCGGCTGCCTTTTGTGCTAGAAGAGAAGCTTCTTCCTCTGCCACTCTCCCTTTCTCTGCTAGAAGCTCAGCCGTCTCTTCTGAACGACGCTGTAGAAATGAGAATTATAACTATTTATTTAGATTCCGACCATCAGTTTCGCTAGAAACAACGTTAGCGTTTTATCACGCCAGTTTTCAGTGAAGCCGTGATATCGTTAGACACGAAGAGAAGACAGAAGAGATCACATAAGCTGACGATTATAAGCCCCGGCGTAGTTCGAAAGTAGTCGGATATCCTCGAATAATTTATCTTACTTAGTCATAATGTTTTTTACATTGATTCTTGTTGATTTAGTCACAGTACAATAATATTATCCATATTCTATAGTATTTTTTGTGGGATGTGGAGCAATCACAGCGTTGTGTATTGCTGTTTGAGTGAGGTTACCGGAGACTCAATCCTTCCCCTCCCCAAAATCTCCAAATCCTTTATCACCAAAAGGTCGGCAGTGCGCTCCTAGCTCATCTGTTGTTGCGAGTGTCCATGGGCGGCGCTGATTGCTTACCATCAGGTAATCAAATAATAAAGTAGGTAATACTCACGAGTGCGTCATTTGCGAGTCGTATTTCCTCCTGGTACTGCCTTAGGCGTTGCTCCATGGCCTGTCTCTCGCGCTCTGCGGCTTCACGGAGTTGTTTCTCTCGCGCCAACTTGTTGCGCTCGATCTGACGACGCTGGAATGTAATGTATATTTTTAGGGAGATAAGGTTTCATTTTGTACGTACTTTTTGGGTGATCGACACGGATCGAAGGTTTGAGCATTAATCACCACGCTTACTCAAAGCAGATTTGCGATTTCAAACTTATAATATTATAAACTTATAAAAATTATAAATCCAGGCTTCCTTCACCGTATGTCAGTGATGTCTTAATAATTAGAAAATTAGAAAGTACATATAACTCGGAAACAGTCTCATTGATACTTGCCAATTTTCGAACCTGCACCCTCATGTATGAAAAGCGAGCGCCTTAGCTTCGGGACACCACGAATTTATCTGGACTTTTTGTGTAATTGCGGATAAAAGTTTACTTTCTAAAAGCTACTTTGGAACAAATCAGATTGGGTTGAAATACTTAATATAGGATATCAAAAAATCGGAGCTGCGGATACAAGCACCATAGTTCACCGCGTCTCGGCTGGGAGCAAGAGAAGAAATGGAGGGGTTTTTACTCAGTAAGAGTCTGACATTCCCTGTCTCCAGAAGAAGTTATTGGATTGTGGCGACGCACATAGATTGTCAACGCAAGTGAAGTAAGCGCTTATAAAAACGTATAGCACGTCAAAACGTACAACTGTTAGCCAGTAGCCCGCCAGATTGATCATCTCGCTTGGTCGGAGGATCCTCCTTTTCCGATATTAGGGAACTTAACTTTCTGTTCCCTTTTTTTGTGAGGTGAAAATCATCAAATGAGGTAGTGTTACTGACTACAAACCCCCCTGTTCCTTCTCCTGCTCTGGGCCGAGGTCGCGGTGCCTTATTCCGCTTATCCCTCCATCGCGGCTGAACATCAGCCCTATAGGGCCCCGTCAATGGTGGTCTATTGGCTCTTTGAGGCGCGCGCGGAACGCTATGCGCCGTACGCTCGGGTGTGGTTCTGGTCAGGCGACGAACTAACCTCACTCGCCATCCGCAGACCCACGCTTATAAAGGCCGGATATCGTCTCTCTCCCGTTTGTTCCCTAAAGGATGATTTAATAATTTCAATTGTGTTATACCTGTTTCTCTTCCTTAGCCTGCGCCTTCATTTGCTGTACCTCCATGGTGTCAGGTTTCCGTCTCCTCATGTATAAATCGTGGTTACCGATACACAGGTCCAGTATCTGAAAGTAGATGGAGAAACTTCATTTCGTTCATTCCTTTTTATTTTTTTTTTGCCGCGTAAGTTAGCGTTGTCTAAGGCTCAGTTATCCCCTTAATCCCAAATTCTCCAATCCCCTAGACCTCGATAATACACTTATAACTTCCCTAGTGTAGTAAGTAAAAACTAGCATAATATTAGCTGTCTATAAATTGCGTAGTTTATTTCATTATTTATATATCAATATAAAAATCTAAATGTGTACTCACCAACTTATTCATTCCTTTAGGCGAGAAAAATATAAAGTTATTCGTTGTTTTCTCAACAAACTTGATGACGAATTTCTTGTCGTCAAAGGATATGTGCTTGATTTCGGACCACGGGAATGTTGTTTTAGGAGTCAGTTTATTATCTTTTTCGTATATATTTAGACCTAACGCCGTCACCCCTAGGTATAATTCTGTTTCTTTCTTATTCTGAAAAAAAAAATGAATTAAATTACTTATATCAATTTTCTTATAAAATGTAATTTAGGTATGTTTATGAACCCCGGTCGTGGCTCGAAATTAATCGAGCTCTCTCGAAAGTGGTCGAGGGCTGAAACTGAAGTTTTAAATTGCATTTAGGGTGCAACTAACAATCATTTTAAAATGAATTCTTGTTAATTATCGATCCTAAGTAGTATTAATGTGTTAATTGATTTTCAGAAACTAGCGGCCCACCCCTTCTTCTAAATTTCCCCACTATTTAATGGATGTTATTATACATATAAACCTACCTCTTGATCTATTTAAAACACTGCATCAACATCATTTGGTTAGCTTTAAAAATTTGCATGAGAATGTTTAAAGTCTATTGAGAGTTTGGAGTAACATGCATTACACTAAGACCAAGATAAATATCTATATTATTAATTACAAACAAATAAATTCCGCTTACTTTAATAGCGAAGTAGTTGACTCCATACATGTCCAAGTCTTGCGCTATCTTTAGATACTCCATTTCGGCTTCATCGCGCGACATACCTTTGTGATCTGCGTACCTGTATTAATTTGACCTTCTTAATTAATAGTTTAAACATATAATTACGGTTGAGATACCTGCGTTGGAATAAGTACTACTGATATTTGTTTTTTTATGTGATATGAAAATAGTCGGCACACTTTCAAATTGAAACTACGAGATCACATCCAGAAGAAATTGGTAAAATCTTTACAGTAGTTTATTTTCTTCACTTTCTTCTCTGGGATATGAAAATAAGAACAGAGGAGTTACGAGTGCGTTGCCGACTTTTTGGGGATTGGGGGAGGGGAAGGATTGGGCCTCCGGTAACCTCACTCACACAGCGAAACAACGCTGATTGAATGTAAGTATTAATTAATTCTGATGATGATTATCATACCATATCTTGATACGGTCCTCCCACATTTCTGGAGTCATCTGGTACTGGTCGATGACTCGCTGCGGCAGCAGATCCTCGCTGGCCAGCATACCAGGCTTGTACGCACTCTCATCATAATCACCGTACTGGAACATGGAGATAAATATCTTGTAAAATATATATTTTAATTTGAACTAAATATATTAACACAATTGATTACTATTAACATAACTTATGGATACTACAAAAAGCTAACATACAAGGTTAGATGGTACAATAAAAATAGTTTTTAGTTTCTAGATTCCTAAATTTCGTTTTTAAAAAATGCTCTTTTTGTCTTAAACAATAAAGGATAAAAGCGTTTTTTTTTTTCAAATAAAAATGTTGCTTGTACACTTTTATGTTTTCGTGAATCTTGGGTGAATTTAAAAACACATAATTTCAGATTACACATCATCACATCCAGACCCAGAACAACAACAGATGGATCTCAAAGAGAGGAGTTCCGTGTATGAATCGAAAACCAGACACTGCACAGAGCCGGTTGCCCAGCCAGTGCGTCAATATAGCAGTCAAGACATATTTACGCTATTTTCCACTAGAGGCGCTGTCAACGTCATTGGGCAAGTGATTGCAATTTACATTTTAGTAAATATTGGTGGTAAGTTATAAGAAGGAAGATTTGTTTTTTTCCAAAGCACACCGTTAAAATCTTTCTTTATTTTATTACAACTAAAAGTTTTCAATAAGTCATGGTCAAACTACAGTTTGCAATTATTTAACGAGGTAAAATCATGACTTCCCTCACACTGGGCGGGCGAGAGGGAGTGGCCGGGGCTGCGGTATATCATTGCGTATGACCTGCAATGCAACCCCGGACCTAAATAGACACATTGGTACTTGCCAGGCTTCGAACTGGCACCTTCATACACACAGAAGTAGACGCCTAACGCTAAAACGACTATAAACTAATTTCTAAATATAAAATAAAACATCAAGAAGCAAGCTTACATAACCGACCTTAGCCTGGACAGCATAGCTTGCAAGCAGGACGGACGCCTCCGGAGGGCAGTAGATGTCCATGCTGAGGATCGCTTGCTTCACTTGGAGGAAGAGGAGGTGCTGTGTTACCTCCTGGATTAACTCCTCTGCTACATCCTCCGGGTACAACTTACAGAGTAACATAAATGGGGTGCCCGGCATTTGGGAGACGCATTGGTCTTGTACTGAAATGGAATGAGTTTATCTTAAAGTTTGATTTTGCAGCAGTTTTTTGTTAGGCCTTAGTATTACTTCGGCGGAGCCGGCACATTTGTGCCACAGCATAACTTTTTCAGATAAATGGGCCTGAAGTTTTTAAATGCAAATTCTTTATTAGTATTTCATATGTTAACATAATTAAGCATTATTTTGTTTACATAGACCACTTAAAATTAATAGTTTACCAATACCATTCTCTTACCATTTACATACATTATATCTTTATATCAAAATTCATTCATTGATTGCAAGCTAGATAGGCTCTTAAAACATGTCAGTGCTTTAATAAATACACAATTACATTACGTATGTAGATAAATAATTGTGGAATAAATAACAATTATATAATGCTGATTATCTACTTAAATAATGATAACTACTAGGTGTATGTTTACTTAATCTAATTTCTAGCTTATTGACAAATTAATAAAGCGCAAATTATCCTTTGTTTTTTTTCTTTTAAAATAATGTAGCCTCACACTACGATTTTCTGACGTGTTGTGGGTGCATATGTACAATTTCACTTAAACATCACATATAGACCCAGAATAACAATTTGTGGATCAATTAGAGTTGTTCCATGCGGGAATCGAACCCGCAACACATAGCGAGTGCATTCAGCAATCTAATTATTACTGTGTTAATTAAAATCCGATCAATGTTTCCAACAAAAACATTTATTTTGTTTTATACATTTGAAGGTTCACTGGAAAACTCAAAGAATAGCCATACGGGTAGCAAGTCAAGCCAAAGCGAGTGGCTGGTCTCTGATGATTTTAAACAAGTACCCTCACAACCTATTTAATAGGTTGGTAACCACTATGTGGATGTAAGACATAAATTCGAATATAGAACTTATTTAGTTATGAAATATCTGGCACATAAACATATATCAAGGTACTTTAACCTTTATAATTTAAATGGCATGGATGGCAGGACAGAATGTCATGTCCATACTTATTAAACCTTAAAAACTAACCTCTTTTATCCAACTTCAGCCAGCTTATAAAATGTTTTGTGTCTTCGAACTGTAGACCAAAGAACCATGTTTCTCTTAGGCCTATAGTCCTGCATACTAAGTCAAATAGATCTCTTCCTGTTGCCCTCCACTGGAAAAAATAATTTAAAAACTTAGAAAGAAAAACCAAACTATATTTTCGGATTGTAGTAGTTACATCTAAGATGGTGGGTTGTCGTTACGTAATGCAGTAAATTGTTAAGTATGAAGAATGGTAATTAATAAGTGCGGGAGAGCTATGTTTCGGCCCGAATGAGCCGTATCGACTGGAGACCCACGGCCTCTATTTTTGTGATAGGTCGGCAAACCAGCAGTCAAATGATGGTAAGCAGTCGGCGCCGCCCATAGACACCAGTAATACTAGAGGAGTTACGAGTGCGTTGCCGGCCTTTTGACGATTTGAAATCCAGTTTGTGAAACAAGCTTCTAAAGCTTTTAAATAATCATTTTCTGTTGTACAGACCAGTTATGAAGGAAGGCTACAAGCGTGGCTACAAGCTATAAAATATCGCGCTCAGACCAATAGGAGAAGAGCAGCGAGTCAAACCGTGCAATATTAGTAAGTGTCAAATGTTTCTCAATATATATTTTACATTTGTATCATTGAGACACACTTAACCTTCTCTATTATTGTTACAGTTTATTATATACATACTTCATTTTAATTAAAACCTCTACTATATGAATCGCACAATTGAAAATACACTATGTGTGGTATCTGTATTACACTACCAACAAATTAAATATTACAGCTTACATTGTACACAGAATAATTACAATATAATATTGTATCCAGTCTAAACACTAACAATATAGGAACAGACCTCAATTATCAGTGAGGAGTTCATGTGTTATCAAGTGTCAAACATCCATCTATGCTGTGGTTGTCCTGTGACTAATGTCTGCGCAAATGTATAGTTATGCATTATGTTATAGATTTCTATGACTGTACACCAAGCACCTATCAGTGTGATGTATGACTACAACAGATTAATCCTAATTATTCTACTTATAAATTATGAAATTCTAACAATAGTTACTGCTCCTAATTCATTCATTCACAGAAGATTAGTGGGAAATAAGGATAGCATTATGTTTCATGGTCCACAAAACATAATGCTATCCGTAATTAAATAATGAAATGAAATATTAAACATTAGAATTTCAAACACAACCATAAGATTAGAGACTACAGTACTACTATTAGTATCAAGTAAGTATATAACACTTGATTTTCATTATGATAAATAAATTCTGCATTCTTAACCTTTTCAGGTCAACATAATGATTGCTAAATTGTTAAAGTTTTGCATTCTGAACATATAGTCTGAAAAGTAATTTATTCGTATTGAAAATTATAATAAATTAATAAACATGCTACATTCCAGAATATGTGTCATTTTAAAACCTATTTTTGGTAAATAAGTGTAACAGTAACAATAAAAGGTTTTAATTAAGTATTAATGTAAGTATGCTATGTAAGAAGGAACAACAGGCACCTAAAATCATGTTTTCATAACAAAAATCATCAGTAAATTGATAAGAAATACAATCATTTTATTATGTACATATTTGCACTACTAGTGGGCACCTAAGTTAAGTATTATATCAGGGAGAAGATATTGAATTTAAAATAAGAATAAGTCGAACATAGATGAAACATTTATAAATCCAACTTCTAACTTTTAAAAATCGAACATGTTAAGGCCTAACTCGTATTAACAAGAGAACTACACACCACTTATGAATCAAACTATGATAAAAGAGAAAATAATGACTAAACAAGCCTTCAATTATCACCACTGTGCATTATTAAGGTAATTTACGGGTTCGCCGAGTTACGGTGACTCACTAGCTACTCATTGCAAACCAAGGATCCCGCTTACACACCAATTTTGACAATAAACAATAACAATGTAATCTTTTTCACCACTAACTATAGTGTAATATCAATTTGTCAAAATTCTCACCTCAAGGTTAAATTCCAATTCAGCGTCTAGCGTACATACTTTAACTGGGAACGACTTTGACGCCTTTTTTCTTCTAAATTGAGGCATTATCTTCTATCATAGCTTCAACACCTCAGTAGAACAAGAACCACATTAGGTTAGGATATTTCTTGCACTATCAATTGGATTGTTAAACGATGTTTAACGTTTACGTAATGTGCAATGGAACGAGGAATGCGTACAATTTCACATTGCGTACTATTTCCAGCAATTATTATTTACAAACAAGAAAAACGTCAATGAAACAAGTAAAGCGAAGGTGAATGAAGAAAAATTATTAGAACTGCGTTCCGTTCCGCTTGATGTTATGTTTTTTTCGTTTGTTCTAGATCTATCAAATACTTTATGCATGATTGGGAATGATGCGAAAAATTAAAAGCAAAAATATTACATGCAAAGCTAACGTCGAATTCACATTTCACGACATAAAACAAAATGTTTATACTGAAAATACCAATAAATGGATGAAAATATAACGATACCTATAACATTGGTTGGGTCTTTCATCATACCTCAACGTTTTCTGAAAGTTGGCAAACCTGATAAAAAGTAAAGTGTCACGTTTGACATTGACAGCTGACAACTATTTGCAACTAACTTCACTTTAAAAAGTTCCTCAACCACGTGCGGTGTTTTTATGTTTGAAACTCGTGTTATGAAATAAAGAAAATGGGTAAATTCAGGTCAAAATTGAAGGGGAAATCGAAAGGGAAGAGATGGCAGAAGGGACAGTCATCAAACTCCAACCCAAAAATACAGAAATACCGAGAGATGGCAAAATCCCGGTTTTTTCAGGAAAATCTAGGTATTTTGGTTACATTTAATATTTCGTCTTTACTAACTATCTCACTGAATAACTTATATTCAAGTCTTTCTAAATAATAATTCGTAATCCCAGCCTAAACAACATATTTCGTGCCCTAACCTATAAACAAAAACAAAACAAAAAATGACACTACTGCGGCCCTTTGCATAAAGATATTTATTTTTTAACGTCAAAAGTACATAGTACGTACATGCACACACTTAATATTCTACAGGCAGCACCGGTTTAACACAACAAGCTGTTTCTAAACACGATGCCATGATGACTTATGGACATGCATCACTGAAGAAGAAATCGGATGCTGAAAACGAGTTGCTCATAGCTAAGGAGCTAGAGAATATGTCTATGAAGAGTGGGGATGAAGGTTCAGAGACTGAATACTCTGAATCCTTCAAAGCTGGCACTTACAAGACATTTCAAACATTTGCCTCTGACTGGAGCCAATGTTCCAATATTAGTTTCAGCAAGTAAGTTCATTCATGTTGCTGATTTTTTATTATTATTCTGACACTTACATACAGTTTATAAGTCCTAAAGATTGAAAAAATCTCCAACAAGGCAATTATATCATAAGAATAATTTATATTTTAAATTAGTAAAAAAAAACTTAAGATGTGCGACTAAAATAATTGCATACATCTAAAATCATAAGATTGGACTATAATATGATATTTTATAAGATATCTAATTAGCACATTATTTATTAGGAACTATTGTAATCTTGCATCTATAAGCTCGAAGTTTAACTGACTTTTCCCTTTAAATTTACCAGAGTATTTATCTTATGTTTTCTTCAATAAGCCACTAAAAATGTAAGGAATATTTTATCACATAATTATTTAATCTATATCACTCTATTTTAGATTACTTACAAGATTTGACTCAAACAATGGCCTCCACAAGGAAATGTTAGCAGTATTAGCTGCTGTGACGGAAGTAATCAAAGAACAGGGAGGCAAGGAGTCCACCACTGAATACTTTGCAGCTCTGGTTAGTATTGACCGAGTCAAAATTCTTATATACCTAAAAAAGGATGAATGTTCTGTTATTTTTATACAACATTTCATTACCTATTTTGAGTAACTTACACTCATATTGCAACCACCACATCAATGTACTAGCTTCCTACCTGCCACTTTGTCCACAAACCTAAATAAATTATACACCTAAACCTTATACACCTAAAACATTGTATCTGTTTAAAAAAAACTGCATCAAAATCTGCCCCATAGTTTTAGAGATCTAAGCATACATAGGGGCAGACAGCAGGAAGCAAGTTTATTTTATATTATGTAGTTATTTATGCTATACAAAGGGAATTAGAGGTTGATTCATGATCAGATACTATATCTGTCTTATATTAAAGTTACTCAATTTAATATATAGGAATAACTGGAATTAGGAATTCTGACTGTACAAAGAAAATACATTGATTGTTTTCTCTTACTGTGGCCATAAAATATATTCAGATATTATTTTGTGATATTTACATAATTCCCACTTCTTCATGATTAATTGTGCTCTGAGTAACTTATTTATTAATATAACTTCTGTTTTACAGATGGAAACCCTAAAGTCATCTGAAATGGAGGAGAACCTAGTGGCAACATTGACTCTATTGTCTATGGGTATCAAGGCTGTACCTCCAGCAGTATTGAGGAAGCAATTCTCTGATGCAGCGACTACATTCATGGATATATTGGAGAAGAATGAGCAGAGTGAAAATGGGGCATTGTTGAGGAGTGCCATTGGTTGCCTCTCTGTGTTACTGAGGGCTCAGGAGTATGCTCTTTGGGGTGATTCTTCCACGATGAGGGTCTTTGAGTCCATCCTTGCATTCTCACTACATTCTAAGCCTAAGGTCAGTTATGAGTTTAGAATTATCCTTTTTTTTATATTGCCCCAAACTAGGATTTTCTCCTGTGTACTGAAACACACAATTTCACAAACCATAGCAACAATATGGGGATCACACAAAGAGTGGTTCCGTGCAGGAATCTTAACCGCAACACGTTACATGTTAGACAGTTGCCCAGCCATCGCGCCAACCATGCAGTCAAACTTATTCTTATTTTAGATTTTTTTTATATGGTTTGTAAGCAACATATAAGCTCTCTGCATGTGGCTTTTCGCATTACATATGAATCCACCGCACTTTCTACATATGTATTGTAAATTATTTATTAAAAGTTGTTGTAAATGAAACTAGATTTACAATTTTTTTTTTAATATATTTATTTGTGTTATGAAATGTCAATTTTATGTAATATAAATGATTTAACAAATAAACATAATTTGTAGGTACGTAAAGCAGCTCAGCATGCAGTTACATCAGTACTACGCGGCAGCTGCTTCATGATCCCATCTGAAGATCAGAAAGTTAAGGTAATATTTTGTTAAACACATGATTATGTAGCTTATAATATCATACTAAGGTTGAAAATCACTTGACATGCTGATATTTATTTGTATCAAAATATTTGTGTACAATAATATGTCTTATTTGTTTACTGATAAAGTTTAATTTCTAGGTACCAAAACTCCATCCGGGTTCAAACCGTGTCGCTGAATTTTGTCTGTCTCAGATCAAAGCTGAAGCTTTGTTGGCTGGACATCGAACGGTTTTACACACACTGACGATGCTCAGAGACGTATTGCCTGTATTCAGCAAGGATTATATCAAGGTATACTATAGTGTTTTATTATTGAATGACAACAAACAACTAGAACATGTTTTTTTTGTTAAAGTTTTTTTTTTGTATTCTGCGTCGAATTCGCTTGCGAGAGTTTCGCTCGCTGCGGGTTTGTTCGCAGAGATTACGTTTTGTAAAATGTAGGTTTATTAAAGTAGATCCTGAACCAATGGGAACAAAAACAAAAAAACTGGCCTATGTTTCTTAAATTAGTTCCACACTTAAGTGTACAATAAGACTATTTAATTTTGTTGTTGAAAAAAATTAATGTATTGGAACCATGATACTGATTTGTTATCATTTTGTTACATTCTCTTGATATTTTGGTGAACTATGCTGTCGCAGAAAGAAATTCCAAAAAGTATATGCAGTGCGCTTTGTCAATCTATGTATTTTCCTGTGTTGTTCATGAGATATTAAATAAATAAATGATTTCCTAACAATATCTCAATTCCACAGTCGATCTGCGAGGCGATACTCTCCCTAATGACACATAACAACGTCTATATAAAGACGTGTTGCCTACATACGTTGCACGCGTTATTCTCAAGTAGTCGAGACTCAAGCAATATGACTGCGTCTCTAGCAGTACAGCTGACGAGGGCGTTAATGGCCGCCCGCCCGCCAGCGAATGACACGGGACAAGTTCTAGCTTGGGCGGCTGTGTTACAACAAGGATATTGCTGTTTGGCTAAGTAAGTTGCTTTTGAATATATATAATACTAGCTGCACCCGCTGCTTGGCTCCATTTAATCTTAGCGTGATGTTTTATAGCCTTCCTAGCCACTCAGGAACATTGTAGCTATCTATCAGTGAAATAATCGACGCAATCCGACCAATGGTTCCGAAGATTACTCCCTACATACAAACTTACAAATTTTACCTCTTTATAATATTAGTATAGATATAATACTACTGGTGCGTCCCAACTTCGCACAGGTTTACAACTGTCTCACTAACGGCAAAAGCGTTCCTATTTCTAGTTCTGCTGTCTAGTTTTCTAAAATTTTCTCGAGAAAATTAAAATAACAAACATAACAAAAAAGAATAAGTAAAATTGGTCCAGGGGTTGACTTATGCGGTTACCAATGCATTTTGTGATTCATTTTATATATATAAATACTACAGACTCGTTCCGGCTTCCCACTATCTAAAGGATGTTTTATTATTATGCATATAACCTTTCTCTTCAATCACTATCTATTAAAATCGCATCAAAATACGTTGCGTAGTTTTAGAGATTTAAGCTTACATAGGGATTTTGGGACAGGCAAACCAACTTTGTTTCAAACTATATATGTAGTGTATGTAGATTTTTATAAACAGTCATATCGCCCAGAGTTTCAATGAATGTATTTTTGCAATATATTATTTTTTAATCATTAGTAAAACAGTAAGCCATTAATTAGTTTGTAGTTTCAAACTAATAATATATTTTAAAATAGATTCATTGGATGTATAAGTAACTATTGTTGCTGTTTTGTTGGAGGTAATGCGAGAGTGGGGGAGGGAGGGATTGGACTTATTGTCTTGTAGTATAAAATGTGTTTTTGTTGAATGTGAAAAATTGTTGTTGAGTTTTCATAAAAATAAGTCATGTGACTTGAACCCAGTACTTATAAGTTCTCTTCAAAGTTTCTTTTTCAGTGTCGTTATGTTTTTGAAACTTGTTGAGTATATTTTTAAGTCTTGTTGAATAAATCATTTTTTCGTTGTCTCCAGTCTGGATTTGAACCTGTGTGTGCCGAACTTGCCAGCGTTCGTGAATATCTGTGTCTCCGAGTTGTGGCTATCTGACGTCGCTGACATCAACTCCGCATCCACTAACGCTTTGAAGGTATAATATTTAATAAGTACTATGTACTAAATAACAATTAATGCGATTATTATTCTAAATATATTTGGGCATTGAAATACCTAAATAATTTACCTAAAGAACTTTTAAACATTCGCGTTTCATGTTAACAACAAATTATTAAACGGGTATTAACGCGAAAATAAATTATTTAAATACTTTGGAAGGCTTTACGTGTTGACCTGATTGCATAGGTCGTGGTCATGGAGGGAAAATTTGTCTGACACACCCTTGATGTGATGTTGACAGTATGAAGGCAGGTTGACACGACCTGTGCGACCAGGTCGTGGAACCTTTTAATAATGTGTTGTTAACTACTACTACTACTTCGCAATGTGCTTACCGTTCACCTCCTAGTTCGGCTAAAATATTACTTTTAAGTGCAATAAGGTAGGTACAGGAGAGGGAACGGCTTTTTAGTCAGTAAGAGTATGACACTCCTAGCCCGTATCCTAAGCGAGAGAAGTTATTTGACGATTTTCCTTCCTCAAAAAAATCTCCTAATTCCCAATATTATTCCCTTTACAGGCAGTTCTATTAGACTGTGTGAAGTTAGCGCTGGATTCCGACGAGACGTTCATCAAACACAAGTCTCATATCGACGCTATCTTCAAGAGTATCGGCACGGGCTTAGACAATCCATTCAACCAAGCTATCCGCCATGTTATAATGACTATTGCTGTGTGTTTCGAGGTAAGGTGGACTTTATTTATATTAGCGTTAGATGTATTATTGTATTTAGATAGTGTTGGGTTTCAATTTTGAAGAATGTTTTGTTTGTCGGGTAAGAAAAGGAAGAAAAATAGATTTGAATTTGTATATTCTATTGTGTAGAAAATACTATATCTTAATTATATTATTTTTACATAGAAAAGTAGAAATACATATTTATGTAAAATAAAATATAAATTCTATTGAAATAAAAACTATTAGTATGTATATTTTTTCCAATGATGGGACCACAGGGTCCCGGTTTTTTTGGGAGGAGCGGAAGCTAACTCCGCAGTAGTCCTTTAGACAACTTTATTCTAAAATAAATAGGACACAAACTGGTGACTATACCTGTATGCACTATGAAAATGCTCCCAAAGATTGTGCCTGGTTACTGTTAGACTATTGTTGTATTATTTTAAATTAACAAAGCTAAGTTTAAAGTCAGATTTCTATAGCTTTTTGGTATAATTTTAGTAAAAATCTTTACCACGTAATGTTATAAACTTTTATTATTACAGATCGGCAATGAAAAAGTTGCGAATACATTGGGACCTCTTTTGAGGAAACTCAACGATCGTCGCGAGAGCCACAATTTTGACAACGACAAGGAGGTTGAATACGCAACTGGATGCGCCATTAAATCCCTTGGCCCTGAATTCGTACTTCGAATAATACCCTTACGAGACGGACCCGAAACAATAAACTTAGAAAGAAGTTGGCTCTTACCCGTACTAAAAGAAAAAATAACAAATTCAAATCTAAAATACTTCGCTACAGAAATCCTAGAAATGGCAACGTTTTGTCGCAAAAAGTCCAGAGAATTGACCCAAATGAAGGATGTACCCGGGTCACACACTTACGAATTACTGTGCAATCAATTTTGGGCTTTATTGCCATCATTTTGTAACAGTCCAAAGGATATTAAAGACAGTTTTAAATCTATAGCAAGGGTTTTAGGTAGCGTTTTGAAAGACAATCCGGAGTTTAGGTTGTCTGTGATGCAGGCTCTTAGGAAGCTCATCACATGTTCAGCTGATAACGAAGAAGATAAAATGGAATTGGGAAGGTTTGCGAAGAATTATTTGCCAATTTTACTGAATGTGTACATGTCGCCTGCGAAGGGAAGTTATGCTGAGGGTCATAGATTGGCTGCTTTAGAAACTATACAGGTAATATTTTTAACTTTTAAAGTTAAGTAGTAAATATTCATTTATTAGGCTAGTCAACAGTTATGTACTCATAACTACTTACTGGCTAACAATATACCCAGATAAAACCATTAGCATTAAATATTAAAATATTTTAAATTAAACAATACAAAAAGCATCAACAATAAAAGATTGATGATAAATACATTGACTTATATACCTACTTACATAACACTTAACACAACATTAAAAATAGAAAGAAGAAAATATTTTAGTCGCTGTATGAACTCGGGTTGTGATTGAAACTAGATCTATGTGTAAAAATAAATCGAAATTCACTGTCGATGTAACAATATTCAGTTTATATCAATACACTTAATAAAATCTATAATCATTCCAACAGGTATACCTCACAATAAGCCACCAAACACTACGCGAAGAACTATTCACAAACGCCTTACAACAGCTAGAAACTTCAAAGGAAAATCACTTCCAAAGGGAAGCGATTCTAGACATCATAAGGACGTTAGTCCTATATCAAACAAGCGAACGCATAGCGAAACTTTTCGACGAATGGGTATACCCACTTTGCGAAACAGTCCTAGAAGATCCTAAAAAACATAAAAAGGCTAAAAAAGAGAATAAAATGGAGACAGAGAATGGAGAAGGAGGAGAAGGAGAAAAGAAGAGTGAATTGAAATATAAAGAGAAATCTAAACTTCTTGAAATGGAACACAAGAAGGCTTATAGGATATTAGAAGAGATATTTAAAAGTGAAAAAGAGAGTTGTAAAGAGTTTTTGAAAGAGAATTATAAGAAGATTAAGAAGTTACTTATGTCTTCCTTGAACAAAGTCGCTGATAGTAGCAAAGCTGCTAGGTTAAGGTAAGCTTGCAACATCTTATCTATTTGAATACGTCAAACCCCAAGCGAACGTTGGCGCTCGCGCACCCATCGTTCTTCTATCAATCAGCCTATAGGGTTTCCTCAAATTCTTAAAGCTGCTTTTATAGTCAATTGCCCCCTTGCCCCCAAGAGTGTCTTCACAATTGTAGTGATACAAACTCGCACTAAGCTCTCAGTTCTGCTACAATTCACTCTGAACGCAGAGGTAAATCATTCAAAACTTCTTTAAGTGACAGATATACTTCTTCGAGTTTGACTAGCTTTCCACTGCTAATGGTCATAGCATGATCTTAATAGCTTTCCGAGAAATAAACAATCCAACACAAAAACAATTGCTAATCCCCCTCTCCCTCCCCCCTTTCTCTCTCTCTCTCTCTCTCTCTCTCTCTCTCTCTCTCTCTCTCTCGCTATCTCTCTCACACGGCGAAACACAACGTAAGCGTTGCTTCACGCTGGTTTTCTGTGACGCTGTGGTCTCACTCCTGTCGAGCCGAAACATGGCTCTCCCACACTTACTAGCTTTACTATTTTTATATAATTTGTTTCAATGTGGAAGACTGTGTTTTATTTGCACGAAAAATATTTTGAGATATGCTTTAATATTTTGTCCACAGATGTATAGAACATCTTATCAACACGACGCCGTTCTTGAACGCGGAGAGCAAGTTATTGAAGAGCGCCATTGCAGAATCTGTGATATGTACTAAAGACATCAATAGCAAATGTAGGCAATGCGCTTTCAACCTTATAAACAGTGTTGGAAACGTTCTGAAGTCACAGGAAGGAGGTGAGTTCGATTATCAGCTTTATTTTTACAGGGATTGGATTGGTTTTCGATCGGCAAAGGTTTACGTAAATAGCAAATGTGTACATTGCATTTTCAACCTTATAGAACAAGTTTACGGTGATGATAGTGTGTGTAGTAAATACAAAGGAAGGAGTTGAGTAGGAATATATAACTTATTTGTATAAGAAATGAATTGGTTTCTGATTAGCAATGAATTAAACATTAGGTTCGGAAAAAATTAAGGAATTGATGGGATTATCTACTTTATCAACCAAAGAATTGAGTTGGTTTCACAGAAAATATCAACATTCTTACTTAACTATTCGAGGATGTTTGACCAGTTTCGAAACACACCGGACTTTATTCAACACTTTGTAAGACATTACGTATCCAAGTCATTATTACCAATATCGCCTTCATCAAACATTTAAAAATTTTTTGTGGTAATTTATAAAATCACCTTCATACCAATATCTTTATGGACAATTATGAAACTTAAAAAAACCTTAACTCCTTAGGCATGCAAGCGTTCGTGAACATGCTAACATCTGGTCTCTCGGCGCCCCTACCTCGCATCGTCAGCGCGACTCTCCGCGCTATAGCATCAGCGTTGTTCAACTTCTCCGAAGACATGGGGCTGGAGACGGTCCAGGGTCTACTGGAAACCGTAGTGGAACACATGACGAATAATAACAGGGAGATCGTGGCTGCTTGCATGAGTTTCTTGAAGGTAGGAACTTATATAAATGAAGTCATTATAAATTACTAGCTGACCCCTAACGTTGTTTTGCCATATACAATGACTGCACGGCTACGACACAGGAGAAAATACTAGTGCGGGACATTATATTTTTACAAAAAAAAAATATTTAATACTTCATCATCATCAGCCAGCCTACTCTTAACACCGTTTGACGGGTTAACTTGACTGCTTTCAAGGCACGATGAGAGTCCATAGTTACGTTCGAGAGATATATCAAATAATATGTATTATTGAAATAATAGTCCAAAGTCATAACCTGTCTCTCTTTCTTCTCTCTCTAACACTGTACGTTTCGGCCTTGGCCTAGAGCAGGAGGAGGAACGAAGGGGTTTTTGGTCAGTAAGAGTCTGACACTCCCTCTCGCCATAACCTAGGAAAGCGAAGTCATATGATGATTTCCCTCCACAAAAAAACACTATCTTATCAAAACTTTCTATTCCTTCCTACCTTCATCTTTTTTCAATACACAGGTATATACAAAAGTGCTACCAACAGATGTCCTAGCGGGCAGTCTGCCAGTGATTTTCAAAGCCCTATCCACAATGCCAGAAGACTGCAAGAGACATTCCCGGCTGGAGATAGGATACTTCCTAACGAAGATGATGAGGAAATTCGGAGCTGATACTGTTGAGAAACTGATTCCACCGACCGATGAGGTCATGTTGAGACGGCTGAGGAATATCCGGAAGATGGATAATAGAAAGAAGAGACAGAAGGAGAATCAGAAGTGAGTATATTGAATTTGAGTTATTATTTCACAAATAAGATGCAACTTGTTCCTTATGGGATAGGTCGGCAAACGAGCAAACGTGCCGATGTTTGGCTCCTCCACACTTAAAACTCCCACTTATAGTGTGTCTCACCAGGCCCTATCAGAATACCAGCGCTGCGGTATTTTTACCTACTGGTGAATTATCGCAGCATATGCTGAAATAGTGGCCATTTTGACCTCGCACAGGCCATTTATTTTATTTTTTAATATTTTTTGTCGTTGTTTTGTTTATTTTTTCTTTTTGTATAAATATATAAAATGTAATTGTATTTATTTTCTGTGCGAGTCTCAAATAAATGTTTTTCTTTCTTTCTTTCTTTCCAATGAGGTCTATGCTTCGATTTCAGGATAAATAAACTTGAAGTACTTTCGCTTTTTAGAAAAAGTCAAACTGATTTATTTTGATTAAAGTGAAACTTTTAGCAATTAATCATTCTTATAAGAGTCATTTTTGGAAAGTGTATGAGAAGAGGCCAAGTCCTAAGTCCGCAGAACTAGTAGGAAAAGAATAATTCATATAGGAATCAAACATGTCACCCGTTACACAACAGCTGGTCCTCTAGCTACTGTGTTAACGTTACAGTAATTTTTTTAACGTAATGTCACTTTACAGGGACCAGTCAGATGATTCCGACACTGATATGCCAATCAAGGGCACATCCAAAACATTAGAAGACATTCTCAAAGACTCTGACTCCGAAATGGAGTTCTTGGATGAAGAGGATGATAAGCCAAGACCTAAAGTCAAGAAGATGACCAAGACAAAGGCCAAAAACCAGGCCTGGATCGAGGACGACCCAGAGAATATTGTGGACTTGGCTGATGTTTCAGCTTCTAGGAAGATTACAGGTATGTTATTCTGAGAAAACATAATGCCTTTAATTTGTCCAACCCCAAGCGAAAGCCTGCGTTTGCGCACCCATTGTGTCTCGAATTACAACGATTGAAATGTTAAGAAACGGGCGTACTTCTTTTTAAATGTACGTGTTGTGAGTTTCTTCAACAATTAAATAAAGTGAAATGACAAATTTTAATGGAAAATCATCAAATGACTTCTCTCGCCATGAGAGTGTCACTCGATGAGATGGAGAATGGAGAAGTGCAGGTCTCGAATGAATTGAGGGGATTAAAATTGCGTACTGCTAAAGGGCTTAGATATTTTGTTTTAATAAAATCACAAACTTGATAGAAGTCGAAGTACAATCGACCAATTTGATTTATGACCCACTTTATTTTGTCACTGATATTTAAATATGGTTAGTTCGAATTGATTCATTCCTTTTTAATTGTTTATTATTTTTAAATTATATAACCATTCGTATAAAATTAACTTTTAAAATTCCATGTTAAAGTTTATTTCTCATTACCAATTTTCTTTCAGCAACCGACCCAACACGTAAACAGAAGGCATCAGAAGTTAAGGCACAGAAGAAGAAGGATGGTGGCTTCAAGACTGCACCTGATGGCAGATTGATCATCACTGATGATGCGTTCGATAATAATGATGATGATGACACCCCAAGACCGAGTGGGGATATTGACACGGATACTGATGATACTGGTGAGTGGTATTTTAAAAGCGCTACTGATACTATTATGCTAAAAGTTAAGTAAAAAATCATTTATTTCAATTGGGTAGTTTCAAGTTTTCTAAGTCTAATTGGGCATAACTTCTAAGTCTAATTCGGCAAACGAACTGGCGGATTACCTGATGGTAAGCAATCGTCGCCACCCATGCACACCCGCAACACCAAAGGAGTTTCGAGTGCTTAGCCGGCCTTTTGGGGATAAGGGTTACGGATATTTAAGATTGGGAAGGGATAGGGTAGGGGGAAAGATTGGGCCGGTAACCTCACTCATACCTCGAAACACAACGCTGTGGTTGTTTCACGCCGGTTTTCTGTGAGGTGTGGTATCACCACGGACGAGCGGACCTATTCGTGCCGAAGCTTGGCTCTGCCACACTTAATTTACTTTATGAGTTCTTAACTCTAGATGCCGAAAAAGAATCGAAACCCTCAAAACTGCTCAAGCCCGGTGCCAAGCGCCGTTACGACGATATCCTCAGCTTGAAGAGCGGCAAGTCCAGCAGGAGTCGAGCGTCTACAGTCACTGTTGGATCTAAGTACAAGGCTGGAGGCAAGGGTATCCATAGGTAAGTGGATTGTTGATGTCAGAATTCATTCTTAGTCTTCTGGAATAGAAACAAACGTGAGACATACTTAATTTATTTTAAATAGCGACTTATTCGCGTGAACAAACTGAGGAAAGCCTTACTAGTTTTATGTCGCAACGGGACTCTTATTTATGAACAGCGTGTGCGTCGTTTCGTGACGTTGTCACGCAGCTAACTCAGTAAGTTGGTTATATGTAGGCTGGTTCCATCAAAGGCCGCATCACAGCTTACCACCAGACGAGATCGTGGACTCACCGTTTATGAGAATGTATGCATATGTGTTATTTTTTCACGCTCGAACGGCTGGATCGATTTGGTTGAAAATTGGTGTGTTGACAGGCTATTAATAATAACATAATATAATAATAAATCAATTATTTAAAAGTAACCAGGACTCACAAAATGTCAGTATAACTTACATCTATGTTAGTAATCACAATTGTTTTTATTGTCAGACATCTTACCTTAATCCATGGGAAATGGCATTAAATCGTCCCATGTATGTGCAGTTCAGCCTGTTCGCAACCATATTCAGGATACTGTTGGAGCTGGCCCGCACCCTGCTCACCAGGGAAGCACACCTTTTGCGTATTGTTGCATAAAACAGTCTATGTTTGCATCTGCAAACATCCCTGATGCGCTACAGAAGCGGGGCAGACCCACCAGCACCCTAAACGCGTTATTATATTGAACACGGAGAGCGCTGTACGACCTCTGCGCAAATCTAACCCACAGGTTGCATGTATAAAAGTTGGTACAGTAAGCCCTAAAAAGGGTGAGCTTGACTTCAAGTGAACATCTTACAAACTTGCGAGCTATTATGTTTGCCCTAACGTACAACGCTCTCCGCTCACGTTCAATGTCTGTATCGTACTTGAGGTCGGGTGTCAATATATGACCCATATATTTAAACCTATAAACTCTAAACACTAAAGTGCCTTTAAACAGAGTTAAGAAATTTCGTTAAGAAATACAGGTGGTGTACTTTCTGGACTTTTACCCCCAGCCTCAAAGACCATAATTTCCGACTTTTTGCAGTTGTAAATAAGTCCAAGTGACTTTGCATAGTCTTCACATTTCTGCACAAGTTTTCTAAGGCCACAGATTGACGCGCTCAGCAGCAACATGTTATCCGCGTAACTAATGTTATTGACACAGACACCATCAATAAAACAGCCGACCCTAACGCTACTCGACTCGTCAATCAGCCCGTTCACATACAGGTTGAACAGCGTAGGGTAACTCAACCCCCCTGTCTCACCCCGCACTCCAACCCATATGTACGAGACAAAGCCTCGGCCCATCGCGCATAGTTGCTCTGATTTCCATTAATTTTTAAGGATTTAATACATAGGCTTTTATCAAAATACCACGCGAGCAAAGCCGCGGGCGCAAGCTAATTTCTTAATAAATTAATATATACGAGTCATCATCAATACAAGCTTATTTATAACATATTTAGATTAAGAAATTTAAGATCTACATAAAAGGGTTTGGCGTTTTGTCAATTATATCTGGTCTAAGCCTGGCAACCAGGTTGGATATCGCAGTTTAAAATGTTCAGGATTATCAGACTGGCTCCCCTGCCTCTGTCCAATGTGTAATTCTATAGTCGGCTCTTACGATAGTCGCTAGTAAAAAAGTATACTACGTCCCTACATAACTTTACGACGACGTAGTGGTGGCTCAGAGGTTAAAGCGCCCGTTGCTTATGCATGAGGATACAGGGTTGTAACCTGAAAAGTACCACATGACTTTATGCATCTACTTTCTAAGATTATTTAGACACCACTGACAATCGGTGAATTCTTCTTCGTGAGGAAATCTGGACTTAGTTATTATAAGTTTGGAATCGCCAGTCCTTCTTGAGTAATATTGATGATTAATGCTTAAACCGTCTCCGTGTGAGAAAAGGCTTTTGCTAAGCAGTGGGCATTTATAAGCACATGATGTTTTCCGGTATTTTATGATAGTTTTTTCTTCTAGGCCACTAGGATCGGCTGCGTCAGTGGCTTCAGGCGCTGGATCAGAATACAGAGCGAAGAAAGCGAAGGGTGATGTAAAGAAACAAGGCAAACACGACCCCTACGCGTATCTACCACTATCTAGGAAGAATTTGAATAAAAGGTAAGTGTTTAATATCATTTTAGTAAAGACGCTAGCAGGTCAAGCTTTACTTATCTGTTTCGAAATTTACAACCTTAAAGTTTTACAATAAAGTTTGATTACTGACTGAGTACTGAAAACTTTGTGACGTTGGCGTTCGGTCGAGGTAGGATATAAAAAAAGTGTAGAACAGAGCAAAATGTACTTTTTGCTGTAGCTAATATTACAAAATGCAATTTTGAATAACAATCACACGAATTAATTTAATGTGACCTCGTGACCGTAATTAAGTAAAACCACGCATATATTACTGCAAAATTTCGTATTTCGCAATTCTATTAAAGAAGCTATGTTTTTTATACATAATTAAACAATTAATCAATATATTGTGAATAAATATATCAAGATTTATTCATAAACACAAGATTAGTTATCGTCCAAAACTCTATAACGAGGTCATTCCTAAGCTCCCAACGGTAGAAACAAAAATAGCTACATTAAGTTGTATGTCACGTTCTATTCTCCGGAACTGCTGGACTTATTTTCATGAACTTGTATTCTTGGCATAGTTCCAAGTGGAGTAAAAAACATCGTTCCGTAGTGGAATAATGATATAATTCATTGTTTAGTTTAGTGTTTACGAATGCTTTGGTCATTGTATCTTAATTTTTACTTTTTATTAACTGTAAAAATTTTATTGAAAGATGTATTGAAGATGTGTTGTCCACGCAATAAATATTCGGATTTTGTTAGTGATGTAAATAGGATCTCTATTGTTCTAATTTAAAATGAAACTTAGTTACTTGATGTCATAAATCGTTCTCGTAATTTAATACTTATGTTTTGTTTAACCCGACTAAAAGCCAAGGATTAATTATAGGAATTTATTATATCGGCTCGTGCCTTGTAACTTGCTTTACTACGTCGCGAGGCACGTACTAGTACATTGTAAAATTATATAATATTATATAGATTATATTTTTTAGGAAATGAGTCATTTTATTTTTCGTTTGGCTAATATTAAATTTTAATACATTTATTTTTTATAGGAAAAAGGCTATCACATCGAAACAGTTTAAAGGCGTTGTCAAATCAAAAACTAAATTGGGGAAGAATAAGAAGAAATAAGAGTGGAAATAATTATAGTGAAATAATTTAATTTTTAAGGTCGTTTTAATTATTGTTGACAGTTCTTAGTTGATTTTGGACTATATTCAAAAGGATTTAAGCTGATAATTATATTGTAATGTTCATCAGACCTGGCTTTAAAAATAAGTATGTATAAACGCTTTACTATTAAAACGAACTGTAAACAAGATCTACGAATCTTATATATTTTCATACTGCGGGCAAAATTCCATTGCTTGTAAATGCAATTAAAAAAGTAACAAATATTTATACTCTGTGGTCGAATCTGTTTGGTTTATGTTCGACCAATCTCACGTTATGGACTTATGTAATGTTGAAACTTCAAAGTATATGTTAATAAATCAATATCAAATAATCCAGTGTTTTATTTTTGTTGTTTTACATAAAACTGATGATCTTGATTGCCGAGTATTGTGTTCCTTGGTTGTATGGCTTTTAACGGTCTGACTACGGAATTCACGGGAATCATCGACGGGCAACAACATGTCATGTCTGAATTATGCTCCACTATAAGCATATTAAGTTAATTGAAAAATCTGTTTTGACAATTTAAAAAATAAAATATTTTGCTGGCAAAGTGGGTTATGGTTAAAATTCGTGGATAGTACATTTTCTATCTTTTGTACTATGGGTTAACAAAGGTTGGTCAGTTGGCTTTTTTATGTGATTTGGGCAGCAAAAGAGCAGACGGAACACCTGATGGTAAGCAATCAGGAGGAGTTACGAGTACATTACCGGCCTTTTAAGGGTTAGAGAAATGGGCATCGTAAAAAGAAGAGGATTAGATATTATTAGAAGCATCTAGAAAATAAATCACAACTTGGAAAACGGAATTTATACTGTAGCTAAGCTATTGACTGTTGAGGTCACTAACTATCGATCGATTGAGCTATTTCAAAAGTGGATTAGTGGACGAATTTATGATTAGGTAGGCACCTATTTCGAATCATACATTTGCATAAAATATTATAAGTAAGAGATTTCAATTACGGTTATATTTTTAATGCTCAGTTATGGCTATGATGAAGCTTTAAGTAACACTATCACCCCTTATTACCTGGTACCAAACCCTTCGGAAAATAAAAGGAGTGACGTTTTTATTTCCATGGATTAGGTAAGTCTGAAAACTCCCTGATCACCTGATGGTAAGTGATCGGTGCCGCGCCTAGACACCTGAAACACCAGAGGAGTTACGTTGCCGGCGTATTGGCATTTAGGGATTGAAGATTGATTCCCCAGTTTACGCTCATACGACAAAACAGCACAAGCACTTGTTTCGGGTTGGTTTTCTTCGAAGCCATGGTATTACCTACCGGTAGAGCCAGCCCATTCGAGCCGAAGATTTTCTCTCCTACTTTTATTTGAGAGTAAAGGTGCAGCTCAGATAATAGTTTTATTGCAGCTATTCAGTGATTGGCAATGCAGTTTGAGAGGCAATATTGAGATTGTTGAGAGCTGCAATTTTCTTGTTAGGAAGCTAGGTATTGTTCAGTGCTGTGGGGTCTAGACTACATACATAAGTAGCTATGGCATTATGCATTGTCAGTAGCTAATATAATGATTCTACTTTGCCCTTGAAACAGATTTTTTTTGCAATTTTACCCGATCTTGCCTTGTGTTAAGCGATGGAGCAAACCTGGCCATAAGCAACCTATGCACTCTAAGTGTTTTTAAGGCAGTAATACAGACATAGGCTGATTTTAATTTAGGTAGGTAGACAACATATAGGTTCTTATTCTATAACAGTGTAGCACACATATTTTCTGTGCCCTATCACAGAAAAATGGGTTAAGAAACAAACAAAAGTTTGTAAAAAGTATCATAAAAAAGGCGAACGGCAGGCCCTGTACCGCATACTTTTTGTGATGTTAAGTATTAGAATTTGTACTACTTATTAAGGCAGCTAAGTTATTAATTTTTATGTAATTGCTCTATTTTTAGAAGCTTAAATAGAAATATCAATAAAAAGATTTCAATAAACAAGCGCACTAAAATTGTAAAAACTGAACGCAGTCATGTTTTGAGAGGTTGCCATTGTAAAATAAGACAAATATCGGAATTATAAATAATTATTTAGAAGTGAGAATAACAAGTAACATAATTAAAGACGTATATTAAACCCAACCTAGAATATTCTTCAGTACTCTAAACCCAGTTAATACTTCATTATTGAGTGACTAGATGGATGAAAACTAGCGTTTCAACAAAGATGACCTTATTTTGTGTGTTAGGTTTTTGCCGTGGATGTTAACCACGCGCCATCACGTTCGGTCGTTGGGGAAACGCACCTCTTGCTATCATGGTTGTAACACTAGTTCGCAACCGTATAGCAAACCTTTGAATCACCAAAATAATGTTTATGTACCTTCAAATAACAATCTAAGCTAATACTCTAGTACATAACCTTTAAAAATAAAACTAGCTATAACTCTTATGTCCCAAGTTTTAAAAATCCAACATTTTAAACAGTGCTTGTTTATCATATTAACTACCAATTAAACCAAAAAGTATCCCAAAACACGATAAAATATTAGCGGTACAGGACTCCCATACAAGCCTGCTGTTCACCTTTAGGCGCAGTACCAGGATTGAACTTATATGCGACTCAATGCGTTTAACAGCCTTTTACTCAACACTAAAATTTCTGTATCCGGTAAACTCCTGAGTCAAGGAAAGCATTTGACGCAGTGACGTCTCTCTAGCCATTCCTCAAAATGAGGTCTTATCTCTGCTATAACATCGAGGGCAATCGCACTTGTGTTGCGGTGTCAGGGGTGTCACCCTTTACCTGCCCTCCTCTTGAAGCCGGAATTCTTACTCGGCAGAACACTCAATTAACGAAGTAACTAGTCCATTACTTAGAGAACGACAAAGAATTTATTAGTAAAACTTTCCCCAAAACTAACCGCACGCCACTTAAAGTACCATTATGTAGTAAACGGGTTCTTTTTCATCATTGTATGATAATGATAGGACAGCATATCGCTGCAGCAACACTAACAACCAATTAGATTGAGTTGTCGCGTAATTTGCGCAAATAACCAGCCGTTGAATGCGCTCTGTATTCAATCATTGTAAGGTTGTAATTTGTGACAAACCAGTTTTAAAGGTTTTGAGGATGCGTGTTCGGAAACTGGTAAGGACCAAATAGTACCTATGATTTTTTCTGAGACACCACTGACACATTTGACTGCACGGTTAGTGCGGTGGCTGGGCAACTGGCTGCTGTGGATCGTGTCGCGATTCCAGCAAGGACCAACTCTGTGTGATCCCCAAATTGTTGTTCCGAGTCTGGGTGTGATGTGTATGTGAAATTGTACGTGTGTAAACACACCCACGACAAAGGAGAAAACCCTAGTGTGGGGCAATGTTGTTATAGAAAAAAACGGGGAGGAAAACGGCGTGAAATCGCTAATCCGCCTTGAGCAACCGTGATAATTAATGTTTAAATTGTCTCATGTGAGAAGAAGCCTTTGCTCAATAGGTAGGTACTGGAAATTGATGGGCTGATGATTTACAAATATACCAGCGGCTTCTCCTGCTGCTCGGCTCACATTGATCGTTAAGTAGGTAGTTAAGAGATTAAACAAGAAAAAATAATGTTTTTTTGCTTGTTTAGCCCTTTGATTCATTCGTTCCGAAGATTAACGAGTTACTCGATGAGAAAAACAAAGTCTTCTGCCACATAGGCCGGACCAGCAATGCTCCTTGTTACCCTGGTCTTTATAAACAGCGATCCCGTTTGCCCAAGCATGGGAGTCATATTCAATTCCTTTTTTATAGGCTTGGTCAATCAAAAAAGCATAGGCGGATCATTTGATGGTAAGCTGCGCCCAAGAAGAGTTATAAGTTCCTAAGTGGCACCCAGGATTTGAGGATTCGGGGTGAACGAGTCTCCACTCACACGGCAAAACACAAGCTTTTTACGTAGTCAACTTAACCCTTAGTTCATTCATTGCGAGGACCACCTAGACCTAGAGCGGTACGGTATATACGGTGGAGCATACGGTGGCGGTATGCTCTGTCTGGGCTGAGCACCGTCGTGTCCTCAGGGAAGTGATCGGCGGCGGCGACCTCTCGCGTCTGGCCTTAGTCGAGGCCATGGTGCGGAGTGAGAGCAACTGGGACGCCGTCTCCTCCTTCTGTGAAGCAGTTATGCTCGTAAAGAGGAAGGCGGCCCGCGTGAGGGAGCAATCCTCCTCCTCACGCCCCAGCCGCCGCAATAGGCGACACTACGGGCGTCGGGGATCAAGGGACGATCTCCGGCCGCCGTAAGCGCGGGTCTGCGGTCGGTGAGTAAGGGCAGCTCGCCGCCCGACCAGAACCAGGCCCGAGCGTATGGCGCGTATCGTTCCGCGCGCGCCTTAAAGAGCCAATAGACCACCATAGACGGGGCCCTATAGGGCTGATGTTCAGCCTGGGTTGCGGGGTAAGCGCAATGAGGCACCGCGACTTCAGCCCAGAGCAGGAGAAGGAACAGGGGGGTTTTTAGTCAGTAAGAGTCTGACACTCCCTCCCGCCCGGCCCTGGGCGGGAGAAGTCATTTGATGATTTTCCCCTTACAAAAAAAAACCCTTAGTTCATTCCGGTTTCCTGTTTAGCCCAGTTTAACATTGGGAGAGCCTATCAAGTACCTACCTAACCTTGGATTGTATACTCGAGTCGATGAGTGTTGGTATTGGTAATTTATAGAATCAGGCGTTACTTTGCCTCCATAGTCCAAGTGCAAGTCCATGACATAAAATGTTATGAAAAATATTAAGTTTTTTAAATCTAATTGAAATTCGTTTCTCATTTTATCCAATACAAAATACAATCGAGTTCGAGTATGACACCATTAATGGATAAGGTTCTGAATCTTACAATAAAAAAATATTGGCACAGTGTTTTGTCACTCGGTTGTCGGCACAATGTGTCGCAAGTTAGGTAGGTAATTCTTGCAGCAGGAAGAACAAAATATTTCTGAATCAGAAATATACTAGATATTTGTATTACCTACCTGTACAGGATCTTAAACGTACAGTAAGTGTGGGAGAGCCAAGCTTCAGCTCGACCGAAATGATAGATACTGTTAGGCCTCACAGAAAACCGACCTGAAACAACAACGAACTCGCCGTGTGATTGAGGTTACAGGAGGCCCAATCTTTTCCCTCCCCCATCCCAAGTTCCGAAATCCTTATCCTCAAATGGTCGGCAACACACCCGTAAATCTTCTGGTTTTATACGGGTATGGGTATAGGCGGCGCCGGTGGCTTACCATCAGGTAATCACGTGCTCGTTCCCGACCTACCATCACATAAAAAGGAACAATATCAGGCATTAAACTAGCAAAAAAAAAACATGCGTATCTACGTTTGCACAGTTTTGCCTACACACATGTAGGTAGATACTAGATACTATTTTGGAGTAGGTATATACGAAAAATGTATATCAACAGATAAGACAATACAGGATAACAGCAGACTGGAATTTTGACGTCAATCAAAAGGAAAATATCAAAACACGTGGACTTTTAACTTCGATTGCAAGCAATGACATAGCAAAAGTGGGAATGCGGCACGGGTTTTGATGCTTACCTACATCGAAAAGAGAGAAGAGTTTTGTCAGACAGAGAGGCAATTATAAGTTTCTATCTTCATCATCATCCAACACCAACAGCCTTTTCTTTAGGTGCTGACTTTAGAGCAAAGGCTATTTCTATACTTATATTTCATTCTTAATTACAAGTGCAGGTTTTCTCACAATGTTTTCCTTCACCATTCTATACTGTATAAATTAACTTCGAAAGTAGGAAACTGTTACTTGGATACAATCACATTGGTACTTGCCAGTTTCGAATTGGCGCCCTTTAGCATGAGAAGTAGGCGCCTCAGCAGTCAACCAACGGGCCACCACGACAATTTTAAGTTTCCGTAGAAACTCAAACGTTACTTTACTTTTTTAAGTGTGGGAGAGCCATGTATCGGCATGAATGGGTCAGCTCGACCGGAATGATACCACGGCCTCACAGAAAACCGGCGTGAAACAACACAGCGTTGTGTGTCGCCGTGTTAGTGAGGTTAATCGTTTACCTCCCCCAACCCCAAAATCTCCAAATACCTAATCCCCAAAAGGTCGACGTCTCACTCGTAACTCCTCTGTTGTTGCGTGTCCATGGGTGGTACTGATTACCTACTTAGCATCAGGTAATCTGTCTGCTTGTTTGCCGTCGTGTGATGATTGCTCGCTTAAAGAGTAGATATTTCCAAATACTTAGTTCCTTCCCCTGTACTTGTTAGACCCTGGTATATTGCGCATGAGTATTGAGTAGGTACCAAGTTTCATTTAAATCGATATCAGGATGTCATCCAGTCGTTTGTCGTTCAAGCGGAAAGTTCGAGAGCTCCTGTTAAAGAGAGTGGCAGAGTCATCAGGATCATAACATTATATAGTATATAACATAAATACATACATATAACATACATACCTATTTATGTAACGTTATATGTAAGTTCATATGTAAGTATACATATATGTATTTACTTGGTATTGGATGATATATATATATATATATATATGTATTATTTGTGTAGATTTATTATAGTGGTATATACATTCTTCAGCCTATTACAAATTCAAAAATTTCATGCTTGCTTCTTGCATCTGCCATTGGTATTCTTCTCTGCATCACCCAAAGGTCAGACTGGTAGAGAATGCTCAAAGCATTAAGTCCACCTTGTGTACAATATCTTGTGCATGAAGCTTATAATAAATAAAGAAATAAATAAATCAATTTAGTGGTTTGGATGATTTTGGACTCGAAAGTTTCCTACGAGCAAGAGCAACTTTACCTAACACTTGTACCTAAGGCTAAAAACTAATAGTACTTGTGACTATGGTTAGTCCACTGCTAGATGAAGAGACTCCTTTTTCCTTTTCTTAGTTGCGAGTTTGTCACAATCTAAAAGCTTTTGTTTTGAATGCCTTCTCCCGCCCTAATTGCAGCAAGAGGCAGTGTTAGACTCTCACTGACTATATCCACCCCGTTTCTTTACCTGCTCCGGGTTGGGGTCGCGGACTCGCAAGAGAGCTTGTAAATTATCCGGCGTCGCGGACTCGCAATTTGTCAAATTTCGATATTTGTCAAACGTTACCGTTTGGTTGAAAAATATGTACGGTGTTGCATGTATGCATTTTAGTATTAATTTTTTATTTATTTATTAAATGAATCATATTTGCAACTTAACATCAATGTCTATTTGGACACTTGTAGCGAGTGGAAAGAGGCCTCATTGATCACCATTCATTCAGGTTCACAGGTGCTAAGCAGACACCTGTGGATTTTATAACCATGAGGAATAAGCTTTAAAGCAGTGTGCCATTGCTTTCGAAACGCTTCTTAAGCTAGGAAGAAAAGAGAAAAAAATACTTAGATACCTATTACAAATTTTAAAGAGGTATAATAACAGGTAGGTACCTGCCTAAGTAAGAAGAAATCGATGGTATGAAGGTACATAACAAAGTATTTACATACGAGTATAAAACATTGAGATGAATATATTTCCTATGTCAGTGGTATAAAACGATAACTTCTCAATGGAGGCCCAAGTTGTCACTTTCCAGCAGTCTTTAAACCTTCAAGCAACGTACGTACCTACCTATTCCTTTTTAAAAGGTCGGAAACCCACCTGTGAATCCTCTGGTGTTACAGGTGTCCATGGGCGGCGTTGATCACTTACAATCAGGTGATCCATATGTTTGTATAGCTTCTATTCCATAAAAAATGAATTCAAAACGTTCAAGTTTTCCGTGACAAATACTAGGAGCGAAAAATATATAAGTTCTTTCACAATATTTTATTTCAAATCTGTGGTCCCAGTACTACGAGCGATGGCAATAAAAATTGGTTTAATTCATTATCCGGTTTTGTTCAGCCGAGTTTTTTCTTGGCCGTGTAGGTCACAAGCTTTCCTTTGGTACCGTTGCACAATTTATGTCAGTATGCCACTTCTGGTGACCATGTTTTAGGACGATCCAATGCAATTTGAAAATGATGATTACAATAAAAGTCTTCAGAAAGAACTCTTGCAAGGTAAAGTTGCGTATAATGCATCGTGAGTAATCGGGAAGGTCTAGCATTAATCCAATCTCATCTTGTTATTGGATTAGCAGAAAATCAAGATCTAAACTACGTCAGCTCCACCGGATACCACATGTAACCGCCAAGCCTATTGTGTGTAAAAATAACGTAGCAAACGGATGCAACGTAAGTAGTGAGTTTGATTTGATTATTGCGCCGGCATCGCTCATGTCCATTATAATAACAGATGCATCGGCACTGCCGTCAAGGAGACGCACGCCCCTCATACTCACGCTTGCATGGACTAGCAAATACATTTTTACACAACAAGTACATAATTAATGCTTGTACGAAGACCTTCGCATGTCCTCGCCAATTTCGTGGGATTTGAATAAAGCAATGAATCAGTGCTCATATCTATTCTATTTATCTACAAATGTAAACTCACACGGAGCTATTAACAATCTTCACACAAGCATAACGACGCCGGCGCAGGTAATACCACTAGTAGCACTCATAAGAACTAATGGGGAACCTGTTCCAGCGCTCGATTTGTTCATATTTAAACACATTTTTAGGTGCGAACTGGTCAATTAAAACAAGTTATTTTAGTTATTGAGGTATTTGCCTTTATTTTTCAAAGGAGGCGATTTACTATTATGGATATACTTACTTTAATAGTATTTATATTTTTACATGGAAATTTTCATCACATTATTAAACCATTATTAATCCTAGGCCATTTATCAGTATTCAATTCAGTATCAACAATGAGTAATATGTCATTTCGAAAAAATACAACCATTCTGTAATAATCTATTTTTTAATTCTTCATTGACACATACCCGACTCTCGTATCGGAGGTTTTTAAAAAAATCTTATAAAATAATATACAAAATAATACAAACATTAGTTCGCTTGTCGACGAAAAAAAATGAGATTTAACATTATCGTAACATTAAATTCCTTGCGGGAAAATTCGTGATTATTTTACATTTTACATAGGTGAATCCGATTCGATTCTTTACAGAAAAATAAATATACAATTATTATTATGTGACTACACAACCGGTGATTGCTTATTGGTGCTCAGCACTTCTCGTCGGCCAGCAGCGGGTCGAGCGAGAACCCGAGGTCCAGCACTGGCGCGGGCGGCCGCTTGCCCGCCGCGTGCTTCAGCGGAGGCCGGCGAGCCACCGCCGCTAGCCCCGTCACCGCGTGCGCCGCGTGCCCGTTAAGCGCGTGCCGTACCTCGCCACCAAACAACTCGCTCAGCGTCTGCTGCACCTCCTTGCCGCCCGCACCCACCCCCGTTGACCCCATGCCACTACTACACGTCACTATAAGTTTACGCACTTCAGGCTTATTCGTTTTACTAGCGTTCATATGCACACTTTTCGACAACGACATTGCGTTCGGATTGTAATAGTAATTGTTCACGTTACCCGACGACTTGCACTGCGAGCGTGACAGTGAAGACTTTATATTACTTCGAACAGTCGCAAATTTTTTACCTAATGTGATGGCACCACCGGCGTGTGACGCGTTGAAAGTGCAGAGCGCCAGTGGGCGCGGGCACGACGAGTACCAGCACACGTCTGCAGGCACTAGCGGCGGAGGCGCCTCGTCTGGCTTATCGTCCAGCCGCGCCGTCGGCGTCGGCAACGGGGACGCTATGCTTAAGATGGGAACTTCTGGAGGTATTTCTGCATCGTCTGGCATGAGAAACGCCTCAGGAGCTAAAGGTTGGCTCAACAAAGACGTGATGCTCGATGTATCAGGAAGCACCGAATTAGGATCCTCCACGTTGAGGAGACTCGCGTAGATATCGTTGACCTGTTGCTCGGCGGTGAGGCCGTTGAACGTACTCAGGTCTATCGAGGTATTGACTAGGAGCGGTGGGAGGTTGAGAGGCGCGGCAGGCGGCGGCGCGGGTGCTGGCGCGAGCTGCACGGGCGCTGCGGGAGCGGGCGCGACCGCAGTCGCCGCCGCCGCGGCCGCGCCCGCGTCCCGCGACGCTCGATGCTCCGCCAGCAACGTGTCGAAGGGTTTGGAGCGCCCCTCGACCGTCCTCCGTAGCGACAGTGCGTGTGCCTTGCACGTCAGTGACCTCGTGCAAGGCTTGGGATTCTCTGCCGTCACTACACCGCAATGCTTATTCGGATCGTATTCTCGTAAATTGAACTTCGTTTTACTAGTTTTAGACCTAGAGGATGATTTTGTCGATGGCGTGGTCGGCGTAGCCACTGGCTTCGGTGGCGGTGGGTTCAGCGCGTTCGCGTCCATCACCGTAGGCAACATGGGAGATGTGTTGGCCGCAAATTGTATATTGGACAGATCTGAATCTGATATTGCATATGCTAGTGATGATGAGTGTATCGGAGGATACAAGTCTTGTGCTGGAACAGTGTCCGTAGCTTGAGGAAAATTAATCTCACCCATATTTCCAATATCTCTAATAATATTCTTCCAGTCAGCAGCATTTGTGATGTCATCAGCACTTTGAATACCTTCAGAATTCATTATTGCAAAAATATCATCAGTTAAATTTTCACCGAGGGGTAGATCCTCTGTGTCTTGTATACTGACAACTGGTAACTCTCCACACTCCATGCTCACCTTCACCTCCCCCGGCACAGTGGAGGATGTGCTGGCTTCGTCTAGGTACTGCAGGTCAGGCTGTGGGGGTAGCATTAGCCTTGACAGAGGAGGTGTTGCGGTGTGGGCTGGGGATGAATCCATTTTTACTGGGAGTATATCTACAGGGATGGGAGGTGGAGGGGGCTCCTTTTTATGCCGGCTGCGGCTTTTGTGAGTAGAGACAGGTGGGGGTGGCGGGGGCAGAGGCTCAGCCCCCGTGTGAGACTCTAGCAAGTGTCTGTATGCTGCACTACATTTCACTATCACTCCACACATATGACACACTGCAGCATTCAAGTTGTCCATCTGGGGAAACAGTCCGTGGAGACTCATGCTCTCATACTTGAGGCGGTTGAGGCCAGCGCGACGGTAGCGCGCCTGCCTGTCCGCCTGCTTGTAAGGGTGGCCGTCGTGCACTCGCCGCACGGACGCGCCACCCTTGTCCACCGCCGCCGGCGTCGTGAACGTGGCGTCGTCATCCTGCCGCGGCGACAGGTGGCCTATTTCACTGACCCACAGATCCCAGGGTTTTTCATTGCACTTAACCGGGCTCACAATTTTCGCCGCGAACGGGTAGTCGCCGGACATGTTTCAGCATTAAACCAATGATCCAATCGTGAAACTCTTGTGTTCGCCTTACGGGAGTCCAGCCATACCGTAGCCAGCCTCACTCCGCTGATAGGTTATTACCCCATATCTGCTTCGAGATCGCTGTCTGTCTCGAGCGCATTCAGGGTCACATCGTAGCTCGATTGTTTACTTCATTATACACACATATCAAACTAAAACGTGTTGTGATTGTCTTAGCTTTTATATTTACAGGGACAGATGATCTATCTCACTGACAGCTGATTATGCAGATTGTAAGTTTTTCTCAACCACGGAACACTTCCATCTATCAAGTATTATTTTGAAATCACTCCTTGGGTCCCGATTGTTAGAAACATGTGTTTATACAACTTATTTCAATTGATATTATATGTGCTACACACAAATAAAATGTCCAAAATTTCTGTTTGGTTGGTTGTAATTTACTATAGAAAGCATCAACACTTTTTTGAGTATTTGTAAAGACCGAAAGCTACTCTATGGTCATTCACCACTGAATGAGTGTGACGTGACAGGAAAGATATTCTCGTTACTTTGGCTGAATTGACAAAAATAATACTAAATCATAGACTACAAAAAGGAATACCAAAATTCTCAGCTATATTAAAAATATTGTTTATGTGAAATTGTTTGACGTTAAGTTTATCAAGTTTGAAATGTCACGAAAAATATATTTTCTATCTACCTCAGAGAAAGAGATATAAATTATTTTAAAAAAATGGTTAAAATAAGTAATATATAAATAAATCTACGTTAAGAACGACTATGCCGGACACATCTCTGTCACAAAATCACTTACCGTTGTATTCATGTGGTTAAAAAGTGTATTCAAGTCTGTCCTGCTAGGTGTACCGATCGGTATAACCTTTCTTGACACAGTCGGCTATGTGGCTAGAGTTGAAGGCATATCCATGCAGCCGGTGCTTAACCCGGATTCTAAAAACACTGACTATGTATTTCTATCAAGATGGGCCGTCAGAGACTATAACTTGCGGAGAGGTGACGTGATATCGTTAGTGTCGCCGAAAGATCCAAATCAGAAGATAATAAAACGCATCGTTGGACTGCAAGGTGATATTGTAAATACTTTAGGCTACAAATCACAGTACGTGAGAGTGCCCGAAGGACACTGTTGGGTTGAAGGTGACCACACTGGACACACACTTGACAGCAATACCTTTGGGCCTGTCTCGTTGGGCCTAGTCAACGCGAGAGCAGCATACATCGTGTGGCCACCTAGCAGATGGCAAAAACTAGAAGCAAAAGTGCCAGAAAACAGAAAACCTTATGTAGAAAAATAGTTAAATTCATCTTAAATTTAGTGAAAAATAGTGGTAGAAGTAGTTAAATGATTAATTTTGATGGCATCTCAAAAGTATCCTTGTGAAAGTTTGTTATCATTTAGTTCCTTATTTATTGCTATGAGCTTGTAAATATAAGTAAGAATGCAATCATAGATTGTTGTTCTATCTACTCAATAATGTATCTCAATAAATTAGACTATCGTTTCTTTCTCTATCTCTCTTGTATCTCCTATTTATAACTCTGTACTTACTATCAATCTTACTTCCCAACTGTTGATCATGGAAAAGTAAATGTAAAAATGAATTTAATATACAGGTGAATGACCTTTGCAAAGTATGCTTGTTACAGTTTGAAAGTAAATTTTGTTTAACTACCCGTATATTTCATTTATCAACAAAATTAAATCACATTCCTATTTTCCTTTATCCCTATTTGCATTTGTACTTTTTAAAAATGAAATTAAAATGTTGATGAATATAAAACAACAGGATGGAAGATAATAACATTTATTCAAACTTTTACATTATCACAGGTTTCATAAATAGCTTATGACATACATTTTAGTCCAAAACTTTCCACAGTTTTGACTACTCGATCATATGAAATACCTCTTCTTATGACATTGTAGACACCAGTCTGGGACAAGTCTATCACAGTAGACCCAGTTCTATTCTGCTCCAGTCCTTGACTTAAAACCCCTCCATCAAAAACAGCTCCCAAATGACCAAACAGGTGTTCAAATTCTCTAATAGATAAAGTAGATTGCTCATTACTGAAGTTTGCACTTGTCAATGCCACTGGTTTATCAAAAGTTTTTGTAACTCTGTTCATAAAATTGTGATTTGGTATTCTTATACCAATTTTAGTTGTGGTAGGGTTTAAAAATGGATTGTCGAGATATTTGGTCTTTTCTAAAACAACTGTCACTGGTCCAGGAAGCAAGCTGTGTAGTAAATCATCGGGTAAGTGATCAGCCTCACCCCATTTCCTAACATCACTTATGTAAGTCACACAAATAGCTACAGGTTTGGCAGAGTCCCTACCTTTGATGGCATATAACTTTTTAATAGCATCTGGGCAGTTGGCACTACATGCCAAACCATATATTGTGTCAGTTGGCACTGCAATAACTTGTCCTTTGCCTAAAAACTCTGCAGCTTTGACTGAAGCAAATCCTTCAGAGCTTGGTATGACTGGTGCCATCTTGTCTATCTTCATTTTGGGTGATGCACATTTATTTCTAGCTAAACTACGAAGTAAATTAAGTTTTTGCATACAAATCATATTCTTAAGAAAGAAATATGGAATTAAGCACTATATTGGCAAATAATTGTCCAACACTGCAATTTATTGCTTGACTTGTTTCTATTCTCACACTAATCCCTCCAGTTATGAGCACACTTATGATTACAGCAACGGTAAAATGTGGTCATAGGTTCATCAGCTGAACGAGTTTGGAGTTGCATGAAGAATGCTTTACCATGTCCACATTTTGGGCAAACAGCATCAGTCGAATCTACATTCTCCCAGGCAGCAGCTCCGCCCATGATATAGTCGAGTTCCTGAAAAGAAATCATGCAATATGTTTAATAAAGTTAATAACCTCCCAGATAAAAAGGTATTCGTGTGGGGCTTATTTTTAGCATTAATGGAAAACATATACGCAAATTTACACACAAAATTTTAACGGGATAAAGTTAATGTCAACCTCTTCCAATATTATTTGTTTTGTTATGGTTTTGGAAAGGATGATGCAATTCATGCAGTCTACGAAAGCTCTGATTAAAGTGGGTTACCTTTAACTTAGGGAAAGTTCGCGAGGATACTTTCTTTCTGATGTTGTACACGTAAGGGCAAGTATTACAGGCGTACCTCAGTCCAGATTCAGGACCTTCCTCCACCATCAAAACATTAGCACACGTCGGGCAGAATAACATTATTACCCCACTTTAGATTTACAACTGTATGCTCTTACGCTACGAGTCTGTGAACGACGGTGTTTGTTTAGCTTGCAACTATAAACGAATTGTTTCGAAAAATACCATTATCACAAAATCCTCAAAACAGATGTGTACTCTCAATATGCCAACGAGAGTGTGAGGTTATTTTTTATCTTTTTTTTAAACATTGATAAATCTTCTTTCTCTTTCACTTACCTCTGAAACGAATGAACTAAAGAACGAATGGTGTAAAAAAGGATAACTATTTACCTACAGATGTTAAATACTATATAGTCACAGAATCTTGTCTAGTAATTTTTAATATATTTTGTAAAACTGTTATAGTATAATTCCGTTTCAAAATTAATACGTAAAAATAATATGTTTCTCTGTATTTTTTACGAAACGAATAAAACAAAGTTGCCATAAAAATAATGCATCATTGTACGAGTGTGCGTGAGACATTAGTTTTTATTTTGTAATCTGTGCCACACAAATCAAATCTGTGTCATGTCGACTGTCGGACGGTCGTGTTGCTAAATATTTTAGGGTGTGTTTATGGCGTGATAAAATATTATTTAGAGCTCTTGTAGTGAGATTGAAAGTAGTTTAGAATATTCTACGATAAGTGGTGATAATGTTACGGGTTCTACTGGATAAATTTTGGGATGAAGATGTATGGTTACCGCCGAATACTACTTGGGATGAAATCGCACCGGGTCCTGACAAGGCGGTGGTTTATAATGACTATAGGCACCTCCTGTACCCTCTGCCCTTGGCACTGGTGCTGATATGCCTGCGGCGTACTCTAGAGGAGTGAGTTAACCTACTTTCCGTTGCTAGGTTTCAGTATGTGTGTCAGTGATTCTCACGGATGAATAAAGTCTAATGATGCACTTTGTGACTCACAAGATTTCGATTTCGCGAAAGTGTAGAATTTGCAGCAGTTTATAAAAGAAGAAACTCATGGATTATGTTTCTGCTTGAGATCAGAAATGTACACAAAATAATGGTTCATGTTTTGTAAATGATTTTGTCTTCAAATCCAAGTTGTTTATTTATTTTTTTGACGAATATCCGGTGTGAATAAATGTTAAATGAGAATAGTTTCAGAAATATCAGTATTTATATTTAAAAACCAAATTTAAAAAATACACTTTCTCATTCAAGTAATATTTGTTTGTGTACAATTTATTAGGTACTGAATATAATTTGAATTAAGAGCATGCTGTTTTTTCAGTTGTCATATTATAATTTATTAATGATGCTCAGTCTGTGGAATATAAAAAATATCTGTTACTAAGAATGTCACTAAATATATTCCGAAAAGGTATTTATTAAAAAAAATTGCAAGTTATCTTATTTAATCAATGGCTGTTATAATTTACAAATGTTAATAACACCATCTTGGAATAACAATACTATAATTTTACCTATAAAAATAATTACAAAATTTTAACTTTTCCTTTAATTACAGGTACTGGTTTGCCCCATTTGGCAAATCCTTAGGCATTAAGAATACTAGACCAAAGAAAGCCCCAAGTAATCCAAAATTGGAGAATGCATATCAATTATCACCAAAAATAAAGCATAAACAGGTATGTTGAATATTGAACTTTAATATTTTATTGATAAAGTACTTTACTTGACAGTTAATCAATTGATTAAATTAAAAAACCGGGTGTTCAATTCAATATGCATAATAATATTGTAGTTTAATTCATAAATATTGTACTAGGATTAAAATAAACTATTTTTCTACCATATTAATCAGCTTTGGTGCTATTAGTTCTTAATTTAAATAATAGCCATTTTGCTGTAATACAATTTAAGTTCTTAAACAAGTTCTTAAGTTCTTAAACTTTATGCTTTTTATTTTTGTTAGTATTTAAAAACAATAAAAAAAAGTAGAGTTTCAGGCTGAAACAATAATTATAAACAGATGAAACAAAACCTGGCAATATTAATATTTGTTAAAAAAATTGTTATTGTTAACCAAGTGTTACATTTAAGTTGGGTTTAATAATGAGTTTGTATGTGTGTCTAATTATACTTTTTCGTATTTTCATTTCACTGTAGGTACACACTTCATGAATTGTTTTATGATAGGCTTAGTAAATTTATTTGAACCTCCATTTAATTCATAAAACTCTATTTACATGAATACATCAGTCATAAAGTTTGTTTTTTATGTGTCAATCATAACACAGGTCATATAATTTATATTTCTTTAATGTTATAGCTAATAAACTATGCATTTTATTTTATTAATGGTACTTGGTGTGTTACAATTGCATGGTTGTGCAGGTTTGTGTGGTGTGCTTGAAAAAAGATTGTATACCTAATTTTAAATACTTTATGTTCACTATTTAAAAAAATACAAGTGCAAAAATAAATCTCTGTTAATTATATCTTTTGCATCTTATAAAGATATTGATTGACACCTACTTTTGCCGTCGTAACTATGTACGGCACTTAACACATTCAAATTAAAACTATTTAATCAGAATCGCCAATCGATTTATATTCGATAAGATAAGTAAACTTTGGTATTTACGTATATCTCGTCGTACGATATAGGTAAGTACGGTATTATCATAGGCAGCTGAACCAAAAGTAATTTTTGTAATTTTTGGTTTCGCGCTCAAAATTTAGGTTCTATATTTGAAATTGAACATAAAAGTATGTAATGCGCATTAGATTTTGAATTTCGAACATTACAATTTGAAAGAATGTTCGATTTGAATAAAATATATTAGGTACGTGTATTCTAATCGCGTCTACAGGCGTCTGGATCTGCAAAATGTAGTGGTAAATTAATAAAATTCTTTTAGCTGTTATAAAATTAGAATTAGTGCGCTGCATTAAGTGGGTGGAAATCCAACGGCATTAGGACGTCATAAAAATAGAGAACACGGCAAATACAGAATCCCAAGGCTGGCGGTTTATGACATTTTTGACAGTTTTTTGTCTAAACATCGTCATCATCTTTTATCATCGTAATGCGAATGTAATTTAATTTAACGTGTATTTGTAAAAAGAATTGTCAGTTCTTGTATAATAAATATACAGTTTGTCGTAAATGTCGTAACTAAAACGTTAAGCAGTGAAGGTGGTGAGAACAATACATAAATTAATTAACTGAATGCTCTATTCTGCAAAATGAATGGAGCTAAATAGTTTTCACGTTAAACCATGGAACAATAAAAAACAAAGATGGACACGCTATCGATTTTTCCCCCAGTACAGAGACAGATGTTCAGTTTCGCGCGAAAATTGAAAAGAAATTTTCAACGACCATCGCTGTTTCCTCCCAGTATTACCATAAAGTCTCCCAGCCTTGGATAAGAAAAAACGGCAACTAAATTAAGGCTTCATCTAGTTTGGCTATGTTTGAGTCTAATCTACATGACATGTAATTAATTTTAATAGAATCCCTACTTAATACGTATTGTTTAAGTTATAGTTATATGCTAAGTGAAGCTTTTAAACCCTAACCGTGCTTCCTTTCTTTTCAGTTCTTTTTGAACAAGGATGAGGTAAATGTTGCACAATATAATACCTCTGCACGTTTGCACATATTATTAACTTGTCTATACCTAGTTTGTAGCTATGTAGGGTAGCATGCAGTATTGTGGTGTGGTCTAAGTGTAAGCGATTATAACGTAGAAAAAGCAAACATTTCTTTTTTCACTTTTGCGAAAGAAATTCTGTGCTCTTGAATCTCCTATGTTCAATGTAAACAAGGCCTCTCTTTTTAAATTCTATTTAATGGTGATAAAACCTCTTTTATGCAACCAAGACTGTACTGAATCCGTTATTCTTTGAATATCTATCGTGTGCCAGTAAATTACTTTCCTTACTGTATAATAATTTCTAATTGAGCTTAATTTCATGTGTAGGTAAATGCGAATTAATTCTGCATGGTCACATGCAAAAGAAATTATAATACCAATTGTGTTCCCAGTGAACCAGTTGACCTAGTTATTACGTCTTAATTTTCCATGTTAGCATCACTAATTAATTAAATAAAGTTTGCGCAGGTAACACTGTACCAACAAACTTTAGATAGCTGTCTGATTAATTAATTAATACCTTTTCACGCCCCTAAGGGACATCAAAGATATTAAAACATGACAAATCTCACCTGTTTTTAAACGAATACTTTTCCGTTTCTCGCCTACACTCAGACCTACTTCCGTTGTCATAGTGCACGATTTACATATTATTTATTATCTGTCTGTATATATTCACCCATAGATTATAGTTATAGATAGCGCAGGCTTTTTTTTCAACAAACAAAGCGACTGCGGCATTGTGTAACCAATAAATCATTATTGAAACGACCTCTTTGTCAATATTATTTTATTATTGGTTGTTGTAACCACTGGTTTTAAGCCATACTCTGATGCGTGGCCTCGAATTTTTAGAGTTGATGCGTAAATATTCGGACGAAAATTTTATTTTATGAGTAAATTATGTTCAGGTTGGTTGGAAAAACCTTGACCAGGTCATCATAAACCTGAGCGGCTAATCTTTAATGGTTCAATTGTAGGTATACCTAGCAGCAAAAAACCTGAAAAATGTTACAAGAATCGTAGCCGATTTTCATTCTTTGAAACCGACAACCTTGTGTCTAATTTTTGCGTTAACAGCTTAACACAATGGCTGAACAGTCGCATCAGATTTAGTGGCCATCGAGCGTTTCATTTGAACACTGCAACCTTCGATAATCGTGAAATTATTCACAGCACGTCTTTACTCAAGAGTGTCCACTGAAGTCGCAGATCGGTTACTACCTAGTTACTTGAAAACCTTGCACATTAGGATTTCATTTTCTTTTTGTCGACCAATGAACAATTTTCATATGTACAACAGATACTCTTGTGTACTTAACAAACCTAAAAATATGGTTCATCTGGACTAATTATGTCTTCATACCAGTTCTAAGGCGAACAGTGAGTTCCTTAAAGTTTTGACGAGACAACTAGACACGTTAGTATCAATCAAAGATATATTTTAGAGAGTTTGAAAACTTTAGACCAGATCTGGACTGAATTGGACCCAAAGTGCCTGTTGTTCAATACATTTTCATCAAGTCTTTGTACAAATGAATTGTAGAATGTCTGAAAATAGACCGGAAAAATATGTTACTCACCTAATCGGGTAGAGTTTGCTACGATAAAAATAAATTAATTCGACGTTTGAATATTATAAAATATTGAAAAATAGCTAGACTTTTATTCATTGATCTGTCGATACACTACATTTTACCTAGATCATCGAAATGTCGTTTTTGAAATTTGGATAAAAGTTTTGAATTCTAGTTAGAAACTACCGTATTCAGTTGCATATTATAATGAACTTGGAAGTCATAGAGCTAATTTCCAACTAAGATTGGAATGCTTTGTTTTCTATGGCATCTTGCCTCATAAAAAGTTAATTAGAAAAACTTATTGCAAATGAACGCATTAAACCAATTGCAATATTAACATTTGAATGTATTTCTTGGCAGTAAAATACATTCGAATATGTTGAAACGGTGAAACGAAGCTGGCGTCTACACAACTGAAGAAGTGTAATAAGTTCTCCTACGAGTACACATTGTAATAATTTGAAATTAGAATGCTGATAAACGATAACGGTCATTCTATATCCATATTAAACTGCCATTTACGGAAGCGATGAGGAAAAATGTCGTGTTTTAAATTCTTTACCATTCAATTTTTCCTATATTCCTTTTGAAATCGAAAACGATATGTTTCACAAGCGTTCCTCAATCATTTCCGAAAATGTATTACAGTTGTTACCTTTTTTGTAGACGTTATATCTCAGCAAATAGTGATTTAGCCTTTCTTGGAGACCACTCCACTTATATCTTGATTACAAGAATTATTATCAACTTAAAAGTGACATTGAAAAGATTAGAAAGAAAAAGAAAACGGGGTCAATAATGAAAACTGTAAACAATTTTGCACATTTCTATATTAAAAGAAACGAAAATCATGATAAGAACAGATAGATAATAATGAGCCGCGTGATCCTTATTGTAAGGAAAACGAGATCGTAATTATGGTAAGGCGATTTAATGTCATTACGAATCTGACTGAAAAATGTAGTTAATATCTTATCTAATCTATTCAGTCATTGAGAGACGCGGAATAAGGAATTTTCGAAACTAAGGCACAACAATTAAAGTAATAATTGGCTTAAAAATTAATGATATTTTTATTTAACTTGCCAAACTGCACACAAAATATGATGAGAGAGATTGTTTGAGCCTCGAAATGTATTTCCTCACACGATAATGACAGAACAAGTTGTTTATGTAAATTTAAACGTCACAAAGATAAATGAAAACTTGTAAGCCTCCAAAAAGCCTGATTAACGATACTTACACAAAGGTGTTGACAGTTATAAAAAAAATTACACGACACGCCCATAAATAAGGAATTAAAAAACCCCGCGTTTTTGTTATCTGTGCATTTTATCGGAATTCGTTTTGTTGTGTGTAATATATTTTTTTAATGTTTTTGTCATACCTAATTATTGATTGTATGAGTAATAAAAAAAGAGTAACGATGGAGTTTCTTGCTCG